TGGAGAGTTTAGGTTTTAGGGGCCTGCGACTGGGCTTCTTTGCTATGTTCGCATCCTCTTTTGCTTCATGTTTGTTTCTCAGCACATGTCGGGCACTGGTACCTTGCTACTTGCTAGCAATCTCGCTGCAATACATTCGAGCACGATCGTCTGACACTCCATGCTCAGTGTGTGCGCTTGTACATGTAACAATATCGGGCCTTAAGAATTAGAATAAGGCTCTGGGGTCCATTATGCTATAATTCTAAAAAAGGATCCCCGCCCCCTCCCCAAATAGTATAGTTAATTCGCCTCGGCCCCGCCGAAGCGGAAGCGGTCAGAGGTTCCTATACGGATGCCACCTGACCACCCCCTCCCCCCCCTCGGTGTGAACCTCTGGATGAACCTCAAGATCCGGCGGCTCGCCTCCTTGAACGGATTTGGGCTCTCTGTAAGTTTCCGCTTTCCCGCCCTGTTCGTATGAATCCTTGAGTCTGAGCTGCTTCTTTCTGCGAAAGAAAGCCCACACAGCGAAAACTATCACGGCAGAATGCTCAAGAAACCTCACTTGCCTTATCTTTAGAACAAAGAAAGACACTCTCACGCTCCTGATATCCGTTTATCCTTTAGCCAACTGGTGATATGTTCCCATGCTCCCCGTCCTGTCTTTGGATTCTTTCTTGCCTTCTTAAGCGCATGAGGCCTGGTGGTGGCCCTTTCGAAGCCACTTTTGGGTTGGTGAACCCTGTGAACCCTCTCGCACTGCTTGCTGACCCTCCCATGAAATGGCATGTGCGCTTCACGCTTGCAGCAGGGGCTGCGACGCTGCGGGTTTAGGGTTTCGGCTTTAAGGTTCAAGCTTTAAGGTTTGGGATTCTGAGTTTTGGGTTTCAGGCCTATGGGCCTTGGTAGGCTTTCGGGTTGCTGCTTTCCGAAACATTGCACCACAGCCGGGCCGAGGCGGACGACGCGAAGCGTTTAGTAAACTTGTTTAGGCCCCTATAGCAACCTTCAATCCTAAACGGATTCCTGAAGCAGTGCAGGGCCATCCGGACTTTGCAGACTGGAGCTTTAAGATGCTCCACTCTGCAAGGCATATTCTTGTAGGGCTCCTTTATCATTTGTAGGAGTTTTCCGAAAATTAGGGGTACTTTACTCTGAGGTTTATAATGAGGATCCTTCGATTTGGAGTACTATATTAAGGAACCCCTAGTCTCGGAAAATCCCATTTGAAGCCAAGACACTTCTAGCTTCTCCTCCAGCTTATAGGCCCCATACTGCGTGTACCAAAGCAGAAGGTACAACGCGAAGAACGCGGTCTGCCTGGGTTGATATCTTCCGGGCTTTGTCAAGACTTATGTTGAAAGGGCTCTCCAGCCTCCGCCTGGGCTTTGGGGATGACGGCTCCCGACTCGGGTCTCTTAAAATGAATGATTTGTGGACTTACGCACCGATGCAATTTCTTGGACTTCTCAATTCCGGCTTTTGAGATTGAACTCCAAAGGGGGACTCAACGGGAAGAGCTCCTCTCTCACATTCGGGTTTAGGATTTAGTTCTCATCGCGTACACCGCCATCAGTCGTTTCAGCCTAAAGCCAGCCGTGTCAAGCTCGGCTATGAATTCCACGCCTTGAGGACTAACGAAGCCGCAGTAGTCGCAGCTACAGGCTTAAACTCTATTCCAGAGTGTCCTAATTCTCGTTCAAGAGCTCTTGAAAAAGCACCTCAGCTTCCAGGTGTATGGAAACTAGAATAGCCCTGCACAAGATCTGAAGCCAAACGTCCAAGGTTAAAGTCCTGATATAAACCCTAAACCCTAAACCCTAAACCCTAGACCCTAAACCCTAAACCCTAAACCCCTAAACCCTAACCCCTAAACCCCTAAACCCTAAAGTCCTGATAAGACCTGTAGACGTGCTCCCAGGTGGCGCAAGACCAAAAGCACCGCCGGCCTCGCCGATCACGGAGACCCACCTTCATGCGCTTCGTTTCTATACTTTAGAAGCTGCCCCCACCCTGTAATAGTGACTATAAGGCTACTATAAGGATTATATTAGGGCCCTATTATATTCCTATTATACCACTATTACAGGGTGGGGGCAGCTTCTAATCTATACTGAACTTAGAACCCTAGCAAAAATTACAATTTTAGCTGTCTCTTAGGGATTATAATAACAAAAAATATTTCTAGGTACCCCTAAGGTTTATATGGGAAGTTCTCAAAATTATGGGTCCCTCTTTAGGTCAGACAAACAGCACGGCACGCACATAAAAAGGACCCTAAAACGGATCATTTAGAGAACTACCCACATATTGTTGTTGTTAGACATGACTGCAAGCAGCATAGCCGCCAACATTGCCTGCACACCAGCACCACCAACAACAACCACAGCAGCAGCAACAACAACAACAACCGCATCAACAACAAGAAACAACAAAGCAACACCAACAAAAAAACAACAAACAACAATAAACAACAAACAACACACACAAGAAACACAACAAACAGCAAACAGCAAACAACAAAAAATAACCAACAAGCAACAACATAACCGCCACCACCACCACCAACAACACCACCATCACCACCATCACCACCACCCCCACCAGCACCACCAGCACCAGCGGCACCAGCCGCAGCACTAGCAGCAGCAACAGCAGCAGCAGCAACAACCGCAACGGCAACCGCAACCGCAAACGAAAGCGCAAGCGCAACCACAACCACAACAGCAGCAGCAACAACAACAGCAACAACAACAACAACAACAACAACAACAACAACAACAACAACAACAACAACAACAACAACAACAACAACAACAACAACGCGACAACAACCACAACAACAACGACAGCGTGAAAAAACGCCACTACTACCACCATGGCAACAACGACAGCTACCACGACTACTACTACTACCGCTGCCACTGCTGCTACTGCTACTGCTACTGCTACTACTACTACTACTACTACTACTACTACTACTATTACTACTACTACTACTACTGCTACTACTACTACTACTACTACTACTACTACTACTACTACTGCTACTGCTACTGCTACTGCTACTACTACTACTACCACTACTACTACTACTACTACTACTACTACTACTACTACTACTACTACTACTACTACTACTACTACTACTACTATTCCTGCTGCTACTACCGCTACTAATACTGCTACTACTACGACTACCACTTCCACTACGACTGCGACGACGACGAGCATTGTGGCAAATCATTATGACGACAGCATTAGCGAACACGCTAGCTGTCACTGTTCTCACCTCCAATGTCTCGATAAGCTGATGGCTCGTAGCGATCCTCATAGTCAGAATACGCTTTGGGGTGTACTTTAGCACATTTCTTCTACGGAAACCTAACTCCTGTCATTTCCACTGGCGAAGGCTCTTGAGAACACCCCCATCAACTAAGTACCAGGGGTCCATGACCGAAGACACCCAAGTACACCATCTCAGGTGGAATGTCCCAAGGAAAAAGAATGTACGGGGATTCCAAATGGACCCGTCGGAACAGGCAAAAATCTAGTTCGAACCTCCAAACATCCATGTAACACCCCCCTCCAAATACACTGGGTTAGGCAGGGGTTGTGCTCTTAAGGCCTCTTTAGATGAGTCTGGAGAAAGATGCACGAAGAGGGCAAACATCTGTGTACCACATCTTTGCAAACAAACGCAGATGTGTAAGCAAATGTGCACGGAAGCACAGTGGCATTCAAAAATTGCCAACAGTGAAGTGAGGTTACCCTGAACCGATTAACTTGTTCCCAGCGGGTCGGGATTGTTGTGCAAAGGTTAACCGCGCAAGGCAAGCACCAATGCTGCAAGGCCACAAATCCATCTTCTCGATCTTTTTGTCGTAGAATTCCTGAGCAAGCAACTGCGCATGGCCTACAAGAAGACTAGCGACCCCCATATCTTTGTCTGCCACTTGTCAATGGAAAGAGAACTGGGATCGCACTAGCAAGGCGTTTACATCGTCTATAACCCAGTATCAGCACCCAAAAGATACCGACCTTGCGAAATCGCAAAGTTCAACAACCTGGTCTCTATACTCGCTTCAATATTACTGAAGGTATGTGAACGCCTTCAAGAGCCTGCAGGTACATCTTTCAACGAATCTCTAGGAGTGCACATGCTTCGCAGTCAGCTCTGTCTTTGATCTCATGGTTGCTGCAACTGGTTGGGGTTTAGGGATACATAGGGAGTGTCCGAAAACTAGGAGTACCTTATTTGGGGGTCCTTATAATAAGGATCCTACTATTCAGGGTATTATATCAGGGTCCCCTGTTTTCGGAAACTCCCATATAGAGACCTGAATCAAAACGGGTTGGGAGCCTTCCATATTCCCGGTGGACAAGGTTAATTACCCAGGGCTCTCTCTCTTAGCGGCAGGGTCACCAGTAGCAAGAAGCACCGCTTTGAGGGTATGCACATGCGTTTCTGAACAAGAAAGTTCTTGTTAGAGAGAGCACATTCCTGCACGCAGAACCGGTAACGCACGTGCTTGTGTAACCGCGTCGTGCAGCCTCGCACCTCCACACCAACTAAGTTTCAAAATGCTCTTAAAAAAACGAAACCGGAGTCACGCGGAGGCTTGCTTGTTCTCAATACTCAGGCTGCTTTTGTCATAGAACCCCTGTAGTAGTGCGCGTAGATCGCCTGAAAGCTAAACCTATTCAAGCTATTCATAACCCTCAACCTTCAGCCCTAAGACGGACCCTGACGCTAAACCCTAAAACCCCGAAACCCTAAAACCCTAAACCCTAAAACCCCGAAACCCTAAAACCCTAAAGCTATTCAGGCACCAACTTTCCCTCGCCCAGACACGGGACGCATGACCACCTGTGCCATCTCAGCATTCGCCGCTGCAACGTTCTGACAACCTCAGAACTGTCATTTTGAAGGGTAGAGTTCTATGCAGAATCTCTCTCTCCCTCTCGCTATAATATATATATATATATATATATATATATAGACATATACACATGTTTTAATGTATAGCCGTAGAAGCTACAAGTAGCGTTTTAGGGTTTAGGGCAGCGGTCCCATCATTTCGGGGCTTGCAGCCGGGATCCGATTTCCTATAGGACCCCTGATAACGAAGAGCACTGCTGTGCACGCTTCTGCATACCCGGGCACCCTGGTGCGCAGGCTCGAGAGCCTGCGAGGACAGGTACATCACCTGGGCATAGGGCCCCAAAAAAGCACATCAGCAAACAGAAGAATAGGGATATCCCATACAAGCTACGCTATTATGTCCTTTTGGGGGATCCCCCCTAAGGGCATGCATGCTGGAGCTGCTTAAAACTCGGGGCATCGCTGAGGACAGTTAAGCCAAGTCGATGCGAGACGTTGTTCGCATCTGACGGTGCAGGCTGGGGATCTGAGGGCTCACAGGGCCCCCCTTCAAACCGGTTCGCTCTGCCAATCAGACGGCAGGTACCGGTATCCCCATGCAAGTTGTTCGAATAGGCATGCCGAACTTGCGATCACTGCGAGTCACGAACCATTCATGACGGAGGTGGTTGTAGTCGCTCTCTTCTTGCGTCGTGTCGTGGGTCTTCCTTAGCGGCAAATCAGATCCGGTGTCACCGCCGCAGGCCACGGTACTATCAGTAGAGGAACCCTCAACCCCGTGTGGATGGAGTAGTGGTAGATTGAAGCCGATGGTGAGAGTGAGTAATTATAGTTTTCAGTGATGACGACAAGGAAGGCCTTCTCTCTGACAAAAAACAGTGGCAGTTCAATAAGCAAAGGCACGTAGTAGCATACTCTGCTATCTCCACTATGCAAGCTGTTTTGCAGAGCTCAGTTGTATGAGGTTCGAGTTGAGTTGGGTGGGTCACGACCGGAGAGTTGAATGTTCGGATTCTGTAACGGCTGAGGTTGAGGTCGAGCGGTTGCTTCTTTGGGCGAGTCAGCAGCAGGGATTTAGTTTCAACCCCTTTAACATATGCTGACGTCTGTAGCGATAGTACCTCGGGGTCTGAAGTCGCGAGTTTGTAGCCCCTCAAATGCCACCAGAAACTTGTTATCCTGAGCTGCACTAGGACCTACGCTCCTGTATTGACCCTGAGCGCCCTCTATCAAACCCCAGTAGAACCCATCGTAACTCTGAGAGTAATCCTTCTTCACTGAAAGTAACCCTGCGGCCAGGCTGCACGTAGGTCATCGAAGACCTGCCGGGCTCCACAAGCTGATTCATCTCCATGTTCAAGGCCTGTCGGTGTGGGATTTGATCTACGGGGTGCAGGAATGTTCAAGGCTTGAAACTTTTTGGGGATTTGAGGCTTCGAAGTGTAGGGTGTACAAGGTTTGGGGTTTAGGGCTAGAGGTTTCATGGCCTCACTGAACCGGGACTTTGTAAGGCCTGGTAGCTGGAAGTTCGGAGCTTCGGGGTCTAGGGGTTTGGTCTTAGGTCTTCCTGATGGGTCACTGGGATGCCATCAGAGAAGCTCATGGAGTTCTGCGGTCGGGTGCTGTGTTGCATGGGTTTCTTTTTTCTTTTGACCCGGCTTCGATGACAAACACACCTTGTGCCTGTTGACCCTCAACGAGTCTCATGGTCTTGTCACTACTTATAGCAACTACTTTACTGTATTCAAGTACGACTAGTTATACCATAGGGTTGCTTCAGCTGGCTTGTCTCTGCAATGGATGGGCCTGAATTAGAACACCATGTCCTTGAGGCCGGGTTATTCTACTAACCCTATATTGGGAAGACAAGGGGACACTACCAAACCCTCCTCCCGATCAAACAATAAACTCCCACATCGCAAGGCTTGGCTTGAGAATGCATGCTTGCCAGAACCGTGCCGCGCTTCATACCCCCTTCAGACCGCTGCAAAAGACCAACCATCCCAACCTCGCTGTATAATCCCTACAAACCGCATAGACGCCAATTCAATCGGTACACAGCACCACGTAAGTCCAAAAAGACAGAATTAGAGCCTGAGAGTAGATTTTCACGCCCGCTGTGGTGGGGTCCTCGGCGGCTCTTGCGAGGTTGCTGCCCAAGAAACAAACACACGCGCACACATACAAACACAAGAACACTCTCACACACACACACACACGTCTACGTCTATATATATAGATGTGTGTGTGTACACATACATGCATGCATGCATACATACATACAGACGTACATACATGGATACAAACAGGCAGGCAGACATACATACATATGTAGTTACAGTGCTTTATCACATACGTGTATACACACAGATGTACAGACACTTGCTATGCACCTTGAAAGTCTGGGCTTAGCAGCTACAGTGATAGGGCTTTTACGTGACATGTGTATCTGACGTGCCTCGCTTCTTGTTGAAGCTGTGGGTACCACAGACCGCCACTTGCGACAGTACTATTGCTGCTCCTGCTGCTGCAGCTACGCTACTGCTGCCACGACGACGATGACTGCTAGTTACCACCACTAGTACCGCTACTTACTACCGTGCGACTCCTCCTGCTCCTGCTCCTGCTGCGAACTGGTGCGACGACGACGACAGTGCCTCTACTGTAACAATATTCTAGTATATAGAGATCCTTAACAATTATGTTGTATATAGAGATCCTTGATCTCTGAAAGGCATGCCTTGATGGCTCCCATGCCGCTGCGCTCTCCGGCAAGTCACGGTGCCGTTCGGGGAGCTCCACCACATGTGCAAACCCTCGCGGGCAGCATTGGAATAGCCTGGGCTCGGTTGGCTCAAAAGGGTGAAGCTCGCCCTGAAGGCTAGCGGTGATAAGAGACTGGGCGTGTGAAAATTCCCGGTTGATGGTGTTGCTTTATCACTTCAAGACGAATGGCCAGTGTTTGATTTGGTTGTGGGCTGTCAGTTTTTTGCATTGATGAAGTGTTCAAGCGTGCAAACTCATTATGCCCGCGAACAGAAGTAACAGCGGCTACGAAGGCAACCACCATCACAACAACACAACACAAGTTCGTCTCAAGCACACACCTTTTCATAGCCACAACTTGCATGGACCATAGCCGTCATCGCTCTTGTTTTGCTGCCGCTTGCCTCACACGCCGTGTCTCCACCCCCTAGGCGAAGCCTCACACTACAGTTCCACAAGGACTAGGGACCACCCTGAACCCCTAAACCCTAAGCCCTGAGCTCCTAAAACTCCTAAACCCCCTGAACCCCTAAACCCCCTCAACTCCAAAAAACCATCTCCTGGATCAAGACGAGCTACACATCTCTATGGTCCTCGACTCGCCGCTGGACATGGCAATGCATTGATCAGAGCCTCCGTTCTTCGGCATTTCGGTCTCGGGTTCTGCGGTGTAGGGGCCTTATTGAAAACTACATTCGCTCACCTGCTCATTGATTATAGCGGACTTAGAACGGCCCCAGAGCAAGGAGGCATCGAGGATCCTTCAACTTACAAACAACCAGGAAAACCTCATACTCCTCTGTCTCGGTTGGGGAACTGTAGAGTGGGTTTCGGCTATTGTTCCTCACCGCTTTTGATGAATGCAAGTCCTGCTTGTTGCTTGAGACTCTTATTGGTGCAGTCTCTTGCCGAAGGCGCTGCCGCTCGTGCAGCCCGATATCCACATCCAGCAGCTGGCCTGCCAAGCTCGGAATTTCTCAGATCACTGCCCAGTCCTGCCTAAGCAGTTTTCTGCTCTGTAGAAACAAGACATCTAGAAGCTGGAACACTTCAAGTAAGACTTTTGGAGGTTTGGTGCTCTAATCTTAAACCCTACACACAACCAAAACTAAGCCCCAAAATCCCAAAAGCACCAAAGACCCCAAGCAAAAACCCAACACACCAAAGCCTACATCCAAGAACGTCCCAAGGCACGGCAAAACAACGGAACAACCCCACAGGAATCCTCTCGAGGGCGCTAGTTTTAGCACAGATACACTCTAAGTGTCGGGCAAGCTGGGGTCGTGAGGGGCTTTAGGGTCGAGAGGGTTTGTTAAGTTTGAAGAAATCCTCATGTACCAACAGCACACAGAGCAACAAGGAGGACTGCCTTGCCCAGCAACAAAGTTCATGCTCCCGACGCGCCGCCCAGGAACCCTCATGTCCCCAAAGTCAAGGACTAGTCCCTTTTGATTTAGTATTGGGCTTTGAGGGTAATGGGATGCTTCAGCGTGTACGTAGCCCTCATGGCGCAAAAAAGGCCACGGCCTCTGCACAGGAAACCTTCATCGGGAAAGGACCCTTTGAAACTGACCAGTCGATCACCATGCTTTCCACCGGAGGCTGTCCTTCCTTGATCGACGGGCTGCTATAAGGCTACTAACTAAGAGGTGACTAATTAGAAAGCTGCTTCTCGCGCTTGCTACAAGGATCTAACTCGACACCCCCATCCGTTAGACGCTGCGGATGAAGGAGCTCGTGTTTGAGGTTCAGCCGGCCACGCGCTTGTGGAATTGAGGGCAGAACCATTCGGGGAAACCAACAGCGCACGCAAATTATATACATCTTGACGATCGAGGCTTCAACCCCAAACTCTAAGCCCTATAGTACACCCTAAGCCTCTTAAACCCTAAGCCCATTAAAAAAAAAAAAACTCAAAGCCCGATAAGCCTATAATGCACCGTAAGCCGCTTCCTCTTCTCAGCTTGACAACGCATTCTAAACTAGGCTGTTCAGTAACCCACTGGGAAGAAGTATATACTTGTTTAGGCTTCTTATTTTAAAATAGGAACCCAGAAACCTGAAAGTAAACAAGTGTACCACTGAACAGCCTGGCGATACTAGGCCCTATAAAGGGAATGGAGGAATGGGGTACAATTATAACTACTATTTCTACCATGCCTCCATGCCCTACTAATCAAAGATGAGATATAGGATTATTAAGCCCCTTATATTATCGTACCGTTAGAGATCCCTTAAAGTAACCCTTATAGATCCCTTTATAAGGCCCCTTTCATTCCCTACTAACCAAAGGTAAGTTCTGAAGCAGGGCGAGCTTCATGTTGCACCACCCATACCTGCAGTCGGGAAACTCGACACTTCCTAAACTCCTCAAGGCTTTGGGCCTGGGGGCTCTATAAGTCATATAGGGACCCTTAGGGGGGCTAGGGGGAGGTGGGGGTAGGGCGCCTTAATACCAAGAAGGAAGGACGTAATAACGGCGATTTAAGGAAGAATAGTCCCCTACCCCCCTCCCGCCTACGCCCCCAAGGGTCCCTATGAACAGGATTCTTTTGGCGCCCTATTGCGGATGTTTGGGGGGTTTAGGGCTCAACGGCTTTTTAAGAAGGAACACTTTAAAGGCAATGCAACGGACCTGATAATTAGAATAGGGTTTCCGGGTATACTATACTATACTTAGAATAAGGAGCTCCCAAAAACCCGAGAGTATAATGGCTAGGACTTGTGAGGACCCACGAGCCAGTGTGCAGCATTGCTTTGCTCTGAAGATCTCGTCATAACCAGGCATGCAACTTTCCTGGTCTGATCGGACTCGTTCTCAAAGAGAACTGCTGCATGATCCCCATATCACTACATGGGCCCTAGTGCTAATCGGGGTGTTGGGGATAAAGTAGCAGTAGCATCTGTACAAGTATAAGTGCTTTTGCGGGCGCCAGTAATGTAGGGGCCTTAATGAATAGAATAGGATTTTGAAGGTTCCTCTTTATAAGTATATCTAGTAGAGTATGCCCCCAGACCATCGGGGCACCGCGGTTGGGATGTAGGAACGGGCTACATCATCGTGTTCCGTAGTCAGACGGTCCGAAACACAAGCTGATGTCTCTCGCTCTGTCAAATTCTTGTTTTTGTTTCACACACTCTCCCTCTCTCTCTCTCTCTCTCTCTCTGTCTCTCGGCCTCCTTTCTGTGGAAGCGATGTCTGAACGCCATTAGACAACACATTTGCACATGCGAAGTTCCATTCCGTGCCCTGCGTGCCGCCGACAGCCTCGCAACGTGACTTCCACCGTTGCAACCAAGTTACTACGATATAAATCAGCACGACAGGAACCATCAGCACCGTCAAGAGGCATCCTATCGATGACGGAGGTCGGTCAGGTTCCACGTTGTGGAAACCTGAGCATGAAGGACAACGGGTTCTGCCCGCTGAACATCCGCAGGAAAAAAATTAGGGGACCCCAATACAACCCTAAAGTAGTAGGATCCTTTCTATTAGGACTCCCAAAATAAGTGACCCCAATTTTCGGAAACCCCTACATACCCAGACAGAAAGGGACACGGAGCCAAAAACAGACGCACAAACAATAAAACAGACCGACATCAACTTGGGCTCACCCTGGTAGCTGCAAACAGTAGACCCGACGGCCAGGACAGAGACACAAATCCTGCAGACCGGAGGGCTGTCCATGTAGCGGTAGGCTTTGCCCATCATCGATTCGTTCTCCTTCTTGGCGGTGGTGTCCTCCTTCTTGGCCATGGTGAGGTGACGTGGCTTTGCCCTTTCCCTCACGCCTTGGTCCGCTTTGCGGTTTCGGGTCTCACTGTGAGCCAATGCTCAGTGAGAGCTTGCTGCGAGCTCCAGCTTAAACGGAAACCATCCGGAGCTTACTCAAGGGGCCTAAATAATTACCTCTACTATTCTGGGAGTTCCTTGTCACATTTTTACTACAATGGGTCCCAAAACTCTACTCCAACTAATAAGGTTGCTGCTCTTGGTTTAAAGGTCAATGGGCCGGTAATTTCAGACGAGCATCTCTTTGTGGCCGAGCCGTCGCGCAAGCTTCGGGCCGAAAACGAGACCAAAACTGTGAGAAGTGGCTCTTCTAGGATCTTCTAAGATAGGGGCCTTGATAATTAGAATAGGGTTTTGGGGCCCATTATGGTGTAATATAACTCTATGAAGGAACCCTATGTTAGAGTCTTTCGCAAGGGCTGTGTATGTCGTGCTTCGTGTTGGGGGTTTAGAATCACGGGACCCAGGGGAAAAAAGCTACAAACAAGGCTACGCGTACCCTCCTTTGCAAGCACCCTGTCCAGGCTTTGTTTAGCAAGTTTCGAACTCCGCGTTCGAAATCTCAGTGCGCAAGTACAAGCTTTTAACCTATGCTTGGGGTCTTGCGATGCCCCATTAATTAAGGTAATCGTTAACGCCAAAGTACCTGACGCGCTAGGACCCGGCATGGCAAGTAGAAGCATCCGGTCCCTCCTGGATTCGGGGGTGCAGGCCTGATACTTTGAGGTTGAGCGAGACGTACGACAGTTCCTGTTCGGGTTTGCTTCTTGCCGGGAATACGAGTCTTGGCCCGCTTCCAAATTTGCTTCGCACTTTGTTCTGAGCCGTGTGCGTGGATTTCATCGCAAGAGCGCAAGAGGAACTGACAAGATCTTGGGTCCCCGGAAAACATGATGGAACATAAATATCCTTCTACCTCGGCCTCTACGAAGAATGACGCGGCTTCTTCGTCGAAAACCACTGCCACTACAACTCTATTGCCGCTACCACTACCCGCCGCAGCTAGAGCTGCCACTGCAGCTACACCTACTCCCTACTCCTACTTCTACTCCGACTAGTGCTAGCACTAAAACTTGTGCTATTCCTACAACTACTCTTCCAGCTTCCGCCACTGCTGCTGCTGCTTCGGGGTCTCCGGCTGTAGATGCTAAAGCGAGCATCTCTACACCTGGGTGCCTGCGAGCGACATTCTACGGGTATCTGGACGCTTCCCGGGATCCCACGATCTTACATTGCACCAAATGCTCTGTAGAGTTTGTTTGAGCAGCGACACTCTTGAGCTGCTGCTGAGAAGAAGAACGTTATGCATGATAGTAAATTTGCAAGGGGTTCAATGACTGGGTACTTCGTATTTATGGCTTTGACTTCGAATCCTCTCATGGCTTGAGGAAGCCACAAGTCAGAAAGTAACAGGTGCGGATTAACACCAACTCGCGCAGGGCTTTCTTGCTCGTCTGCGCCCTCTATATTGGTAACATGTTATATAATACTACTATACAGCTAGAATACACTAAGGCCCGTTATGATATGTTATAAGATATTACCATGCTTCCCCAAGGATGGGTGTCACCTGCCGTCAGTTTTCAAGAGTGCTGCAGAGACGGCCAAGCACACGAGCCTGTGGCGAAGCCTAAACGTGACAGCAAAATTGGGGCAAACGGCTATCACCTGCCATCGTCAAGGGGCCGGCAAGAAAAAACCCTGAGTAGAGTGGATCGGCCGTAGGTCTCAGGCCAAGCGCAGTTCTCCGGACAGCTACTCGTGACGTCGAGAGGTTCAAGGTTCTGGGCGAGGAAGGAAAGGGGGGTTCCTAGTTCCAGCGGATCCGTGGTGTGTAAGGCTTAGTTCAGCGGATTCCGGGGCTTCAGGAGTGTGGGGAGTTGGGTTGTACAGGTTTGGGTCTCAAGCCCCTAGACGATCATCGCCCGTGCTGCCCTTATGCCCATCGATCAACAAATCAGGGCCTTAAATTGGGGATATTAGAGTATGCGTGGAGCTTGTTACGAAATATTCCGACCCCTTCATTCTTCCCTCTACTTGCCCTTGGACGGGCAGGCGCCCCGATGCCTTCGAAGCTGTTCTCCGAACAGTTGCTGTTCTTCTGGGGGCAGCCACTACGTAGTCATGTGACAACAAGTGTACCCCTTGCTTTCGTATTCGTGTCTTATCTAGAAAACCGAAGACGAAAGTGTATGAGAGTACAGCTTGGCCACTTTCTGCGAAGGGTGGGTCGGGCTCTATTGTGTTCTCCCTCACGGAGGAAGCAGAGCTCTTCAGGCTTGGGGCTTTGAGGGCTTTGGGCTCTGAGTTTATGATTTAAGGCTTTCAATTTGAGCTTTAGGGTGTTGAGTTTGACTGTTGGTTCTTGGGTTCAAGCTGCCAAACCATCACCCGAGGAACATCTATCTGCAGTTCAAAACGCCCAACAGTCGAGAAGCGATGTAGGAGAGTCGTGGCATATCTTTGCATTTGCCAGCTATGGCTGTTGCAAGTCAGACCTGACTCCAAACGTTGAAAAATGTTGCAAACCCCTGACGCGTGTAAGCTTTAAATCCCGAAACAAGGTGGCAAATATCAGAATACTAGATCTGGGTTAATTCAGGACTTCTTATCCATACCCGGCTGCGACAGCTTCAGTGAACTGCCACCCGTTCAATGATGCCACGAAGAAGAACAGCCGACAAAAGAAAGTGCTGCAGTTCAGTGCACGGAGTGCGAATTGCTTCGTCGCGCGGGCTGTCCATGACTGAACTTGCTGGACTCTAGAACAGAGTCTGTTACACAGATCATAAGCCATGACCCAACACCCCAACGCTGCCGTAATCTCCACCCGGAATAAACCATAGTGCTGCGTGTCTGCTTTCACCTGGCTGCAATCGTCCAGCTGTCTAGCTGCGACTACGACACGTCGGGAGTGAGACACCAGCCCCATGGAACCTCTTCGGGATTCAACTCGAAACCGAAACCCAAGCCCTAAGCCCGCGAGGTTTGTGGTTTCAAGTGCCGCAAGATCTGGGATGATTGGACAGCGTTTGGTTTGTATGCCTCAGGGTTTAGGGTTGAGGAGATAGTGGTCAGGGCCAACTTTTGGGGGATCCATTTGGATGTCTTCAGGACCCTCTAGGAGCGAATGACGGGTTCAGAGGGATGGATGGTTTAGGGTTTAAGGTTTGGGGCCTCTAGAAGCGAATGAAGGTTTCACAGGGATGGTTTGAGTCACGGAAGGACGGGTAGAAGATATACGAGTGACAGGAAAACCCGTTGTCTGTACTTTTACAAAGTGCTCCCAGTGTGTATTCGCACGCTCGGGTATGAGCGCTGCCGGTTTATGATTACGGATTCAAGGTACTAGGCAAGTGCAGTCCAAACAAGTTCCAATACCATAGCGTCAGCCTCGCGCATGCAGCTGGCTGATGTGACACTGTGAAATCAACAAATCTTGCAAAGATTCGGTGCTGTATATTTTGCGCAGTTGCAGATCCTTTGCAAGGTTCGCGATGTTCCGGGTGTCGCCGGTGACGGCCATGTACAACTGTACATGTACCAGCCGGCTAGCACCACGGATATGTGGGTAGTTCTCTGCATTAGGGTCCCGCTTGGATCCCAAATAGCTCAAGTCCGAACTAATAAACTAAACCTGAACAGCCTACATCCTAAAGCCTCGCAGTAGAATAGAAGGAACCCCTCAAAGGGATCCTAATTCAGAGCCCCCATACGTAGAAGCTCACCGAAGGCACTTTCCTGCCCTGTGAGCCTGGTCCCAGAAACTGCTGGAATTTCTGCAAGTGTCAGGGTTTAGGGTTTAGGGTTTGGAGCTTAGGGTTTTCGGGGGAATTGAGCAGAGAAGCTCTATAGCACAAGGAAAACAATACCTCCTGAAGGCTTGTACAACAAGCTGTGGAACTCGGCACGAAGCTGAAGGTTGAAGTTCAGGACTATTAAGGTTGTAGGGGCCGACAAACCCTGCGCAGATTAACTGTGCGCAGGAAACTGAGCTCATCACCGCGAGACTGTACAGCTCGGCAGTCCCAACCCGTGGAACAAGGCGGATGGTCAACCAGTATGGTCAACCCCTTGGATAGTCGGTTAGAGATCCTTGACCAATGAGGACAAGAATGCTATGCTGATAGCAAAAACTACGGAATCGATGAACTTCAGGTGTGTCTAGGCCAGTAGTTGGCTCCTCCATGGACCCGATGGACTCATCGACCCGATGGACTCATCGGTTATGCCCACGAAAGTAGAAGTCTGCCCGATCCGCGTGCGTTGGCATCGGCCCCCGCGCAGCCCATGCGCGGTCTCCCTGCATTGACACTTCCTGGCAAAGGCTGTGCAGCTTCTGTAGGATAGTAGGGCCTTGTACATTGTAATATTTCCAAGTCCAAGTGTGCTTTTTTGTGGGGGGGGGCGGGGGGTATATCAGACTACAAACAATGGGGAGCAAAAGGTGACACTGTTACAGATTTATCGGGCCCACAAATTCCGTGTTTCTCTACTCCTCTTCTGCCCAAGGGATTCTGTTACAAATTTATCGGGCCCACAAGAAATCAGTGTTTCTCTACTCCTCTTTTGCCCATGCTTCTCCACTCCGCTTCTACCTGCACAGGTTCACGAGTGCGAGAATATGGAGGTAGGAAACCCAACCAGTCCGGTCTTAAGCTTTGCCTCAGAAAGGTCCTGGGAGGCCTAACACTCGCCAACTAAGAAAGGGGCCACAATTAAACATGTACATATACATATACATATATATATATATACGTATATATATATATATATGCACATACATACATACATATATATGTATATGCTACTAAAACTATGAGGAGGCATTAGGAATTGCTTTCTTGACCAAGCTGCGCTGGATTTCGAGTCCTTGACCGGCGTATGGAAGCAATCACAGCAGGATCAGCCCTCTCCGCTACGGGTGCTGCGGAACCCAAGCATCTCAATCTTGACTAGTACAATCATAATCAAAATGATAACGGTAATACCAATAACAACAATAGCATAGTAGGACAAAAAATCGGGTAAATGCAAACAACAGTACGACCAATAATCAACCCCAACGAACACTGACATTTCAAACCATATCCCAAAAGTCGTACTCGTAAGCACAATAATTACAACGAGCAGTGAATATGAGGATGCTGAAACCACTGGCACAACCTCAATCGTTATGGCCCAATCATCAGACGGTTAGTACGAATAAGAAATACTCTGATGATTCGACAGTCATCATCGGAACAGTAATGCGAGTAGATGGAACACCGTACTCCGGGGACCTGCGCCCTGCAGAAGCGGCAGTGCGGTCCATGGCAGTAGCGGCAGTTTCGACGATTGCCTTCCGGTTTCTTCACAGATCTGAATATAGGGCTTTAAACTTTACACACGACAACCCCCAAACCCTAAATCCTAAACACCTCTTAAACCCTCCAGGCTTCAGCTCGAACGTAAGGATCGGATGCAGCCATGCAGCACTCGTTGCGGATGTAGTGCCTGGCGCGGTGGGACGAGACACAAAGCAAGCTCTTTACCCACGAGCAGTAGCCAGGGTATACGGCTCTGGGGTGTGCACTGTATGCGTCTGTTCTCTGTTCCGGCCGCGACTCAACGGCATGAAGACTGGATGACTAGCTTCTTACCAGTAAACCGCGAAGCCCTAAATCCCAAACGCTAGTATAGGGGCCTCAATGATGCTACTAGGGTTTTCTTCGGCAGTGTGTTTTTCTATAAGGAACCCCCAAAACCAGTATTGGTAACTATTTATTATTTAAGCCCCTATAGTACACAATATGAAGATCCCCGGAATGACTTGGAAAGCACAGAGTCGTTTCAGATTCGACCGACAGCTGAGGAAGGGACTTCCTTACCGATCTGGGCAGTAGGGATTAAGCAAGGGTTTTGGGGTTGGGGGTTACGTTCGGGGGTCGGGAGTTTAGGGCTCATGCATAGGTTCATGACCTGGCAGTATGGGACTCATTCAGGGCGTATGTTTGAAGGTTATAGGGCTTACCAGTGTGCTTTTTCGAAGCTTACGGCTTACGGGGCTTCAGGTCAGGATTTCGATTATACGACCTCGATGCTGCCGGCTCACCTGCAGATCGGACGTCCGCAGCCAGCGGTGTTGTCGTCCTGAGGAGTCAAAAACTCAAGTGCTGCTAACGTGGAGCATAGCAGGTGCCCAGAAAACTGCGGTATCAGTACCGATTGACTTCAGAGATATTGAATTCGCAAAAGTGGGCTCCTTATTGAGGACTCTCAGAATGTTCCTTAGCAGGATTTCGGCCGGAGCACCGGCACTGGCCGTCCAAACCTTTACTCCATGCCCTGATGAATGAACCCTGAGCACAACGGAGCTGCGAGATCAACCGTATGCCATGATCTGTTCGACGAAGCGGAGAATCCAGAACAGGGCAACACCAAAGCAACACAACACTTACATGCAACTCTTCAAGAAATATGGGTATGTATGTAACTTCTGTACGCATGTATGCATTCATGCAATTTGTAAGTCAGGCCTTTTATTACACTCGCCCTTGCCCTGAACTCCCAAGCCCAAGACCCCTAAACCCCTGCAAACCTTAACCCCGAAGCCCCTAGACCCTCAACCTAAGGCTTCGGGTTTACGGCTCCTAGAAGGCTAAAGTGTAGAGTTCCTTTACGCGGTCGCAGTTTAGAGCTATTTTAAGCTTTCGGTTATGGGTTCCTTTGCGTATGGGTTCCTTCGATCTTAGTGTTTAGGGCTCCTGTCAGGTTGGGATTTAGGCTGCCCTACTTGTCGGGTATCATGGGGAACTAACGGTTAACCTCTTTGGTTATATAGGGATTATATCGGGACTATACTACCCAAAAAAGGTAAAACATTACCTACCTACTCTACTACTAGGTTGCGTTTATGCTAGGCTGAGCCCTGCCCTATCCTCATTGGAAGAAATGACATGCTCTTTGGGGATCCTGAGCAGGACCAGTTATCCTTTAGAGTGCTAGTTACCTAAATCGCTAGAAAACAGAAGAACCGCCGAACAGCCCTCAAGCCATTCTAAGCTTAAGCGAGACCGGGTCCTCGGCCGGGGCCGGCTCCTCGGTACCGGCGCCGGCGTCCAATCCTCCCCAATAGCGACCAGGAGAAGACACACACGTCGAGATGGGGGTAAGGCTTTATAGGGTTAGGGGTTCGAGTTGATCGTTTAGGGTCCTGTAAGCGCGCTTAGATGGCCCCAGAGAGCTCTTTCCGGCTGCATTCGTATCCATGGAGCATTCGAGGTTGAGCTGAGAGAAGGCTAGCGGCTACGGCAACCTTGAACTCTGAGCCTGAAGGGTTTTAGGGTGTGTACTTCAATTTGAAAAGGGAGCCTTCTATTCTTGATCAAGGAGCCGAAACCCTAAACCCTAAAACCCCTATAGATTCGTTTCAAGGAACCCTTATAGCTCTCTGAGAAGGAGCCCTGAGGAGTGGTACTTGCACTCATCTTAGACTTCTACTTTACCCTATCATCATCCACGGTTTAAGGCTTCGGGTTTAGGATTGTTGTTGATGGTTCTAGGTGTAGGGTTTACGGGTATTCTTAATAGTTCAGGAATCCATATTTGGATCGATGGTTGGCCTTTTGGTGCCCTTTCGGGGGCTATGCGGCTATAAATGTAGGGCCCCAAGTTCGGCAAGGAATTTGCGGACACGGCTATTGACTGGTTTCCGGAATAAATTGTACCCAAAATATGAAGGAAATAATCCAAATGTAAATGCGACTAAAGGAAAGAGAAAATGCCATTCGCTTCGCTTTTTATTTTAATTTAAACGAGTAATACAACATAAGAAGCGTAATGAAATGAGCCGACATGAACCAACGAAAGAAATGTAATGGTTGGAGAAGAAGGCAGGCGTTTTTTTTTATGTAGAGGGCTTGTAGGGGGTTTAACATGAGAAATTTCAAAAAGGTCATCCTCGGGGCCTTTCTGAGGAGTGATAGGGGTCAGGGAAATCTGCAGGTAGTCTGTACATGGACCTTTCCGAAAATAGGGACCCTAATATAGTACCCTAGAGACCAGGACCCTTATGAAAAGGACCCCAAAATCAGGTACCCAAAATTTTTGGCAACTCCTATATATGAAGCTCTGAGTACCGTAGGTTCAGGGGTCTCCTGCTGCTTACTCTCTTTCTCTATTCCTGGAGCCACTGGGGGTTTAATGTAAATGTAAATCGGAATAACCTACGATTTTGAGGACTTATATAAGGAAATCATAATAAGGAACCCTAAAAAGGGTAGGTGTAGGGTTTAGGAAGTTTAGGGCTCAGGAGTTCTGCTAGAAGGCCTGGCAGCAACGGAGGAAGCTCTTCGCCACCCCCACTCGACACACCTGAAACCCGTCGAATCCTAAAGCTGTACACCCCGAAACTCCTGGCCAGAGCCGCCAATGCCCCTTGAGTAGGGAATACGCTTTCAACCGCATGCCGTTATAAAGAGCCATGTAATCTAAGGTGTCAAGGAAGGTTCCATGGTTGAGGGGCATTGGACTCGGTGGGTACGACCGTAAGCCCACCAGCACCCTGAACTAAAAACCGGTAGACACCTCATTATAGAACTCTTTCCAATAACAACCGATGCAACCCTCAGACCCAAACCCCTAAACCCTACTCGCAAAGCCTAACCCCCAAAACCCTCACCATAGGGGCCTTAAGAAATGAAATAGGGTTTTGGGGGCTATAGTAGAATAGGGTTTGGGGTATACCATAGTATTCTTCTACCAAGGAACCCTAAGGCTTCAGGAATGACATTGCTAATACTTATGCGCTCCCCCCTTAAAACCATAATAAGAATATTATGTTTAATATTCTCTTTGGTTTTATATGAACAAAAACAAGGAATAATTCCCGAGGAGACTATCGAGACCCTGCCTGGTGTTGGAGCTCTGGGCGGTGCGGGTTCAATGTCCAGGGGCTCCGTGCCCTCGAGGATTCGAACCACCGCTTCGTAGCCGGCCTGAGGGGGTTTGTCGAGGATTTAGAGGCGAGGGAGGGAACACCCTTCACGGTTTCGAGGTTCTGAGACATGCCGTTAACACCTAGGAGTCTTAAAAAGCTCCATGCGGAGTTCAAACAGCTTCTTTCACGGGGGGGGGGGACGAAGGAGAAAAACTATGACAATGAACGATTTGGAGATCTCCTCCGTCCGGGGTTTACAACCATAAAGCTTTCAAGAGTTCCATCAAGGATCCAGAGAGCTTGTAGGGCTTCCTAACGTTCTGTAGGGTTTAACCAAAGGTTGGAGGGTTCCGGGGAGCTTTAGGGTGAACCCCGACAGAACTGTTATAGTTCATTGTTGGTAGTATTTAAAACGCTGTTCATGTTTATTCCTTGTTGGGTCAAAGTACCCATAAACATGTAAAAGGCTATCCACCTATGATCAACACGAAAGAAGCGAGCTTCTTCTGCAGGGAGGACGGGGCGGCTCAAAGGCTCCCCAAACCCCGAAACCCTAAACCCTAATATAGGGGCCCCTTAATAATTAGAATAGGGTTTTGGGGTATATGATACTAGCATAATCAAAACAAGGAACCCACCCAAGGGGTTCCTTTAAGGGTTCCTTTAGGGGCTCCTTTGAGGGGTCCTTCTTGGCAACTTCCATGGCGGTGTCACCAGAAGGATCCGCCTGCTCCACATCTGCACGAGAACCTGGCGTTTGGGATTCCGGGTTTAGGGTTTAGAGAATAGGGGCCCCTAATATAGTACCCTAAATAGTATATAGGATTCTTACTGTAGGGACCCCAAAATAAGGCACCCCGAATTTAGGGTTTAGGGTTCGGGGTTTAGGGCTCAGGGCTCCTTTTACAGGCTTCTATAGGAGCTTCATAGGGTTCCTTTAAGGGAGGGCTTAGGGATCCTTTGCCATGGTTCATAGGGTTTTGACAGGGTTCTTTGAAGGGCCATATTGGGATTGACACAGGGTTGCTTCTTAAAGTGTGAAGGGCTCAGCGGGTTTTGCCAGGGGCTCGCGAAAGGGCTTTGTGAGGGACTCCCTAAATGGCTTATTTTTGTTTCATAGGGTTTCAAGGACTCCTTAAATGGCTTATTTTTGTTTCATACGGTTTCATGGTTTGCGAAGGGCTCCATAGCTGCAGGTGAGCTTATACGGCTTGGGCTTCAGGCTGCGGAGGCGGCAGGCGAATTACTAATTTGGTTGAAGCATATCAAACCTGAAAGAACCCTACAAACGACCGTATAAACTACCTTGCAACCGCCTCAAACCCTACAAATTCGGGATACAATCTTACGAAACCTTCAACAAACCGCAGATAAGTGCGTTGTAACATAGTATAAGGCTCAAAAGAAAACCGGCCGGGTTCCGAACTCTTCATAACTTTAGGCCCGAGAGCGAGCGAGCATGCGCACAACGTCCGTGTGCCCGCATGCTGCTGCGATCACCAGTGGTGGCTTCTGCATTTCATCCACAGGATCCTCTTTCGGTGCCGCTAAGGTACCGGGGCTTGGGGCAGGCACGGGGAAAATGCTGTCCAACCACCCCCCCAAAAAGAAAGGGGAAAATGAGATGAAATCAAGCACGGAACCGAATGCACTTGAGACTGACGAGTACGCTTCGCAGGAAAAGCACCCGACACCGCAGGCTTGCAACAATAAACAACATTCCTTCAGCACGTTCCCCTAAAGTCGCAGGGGAATTATATGCCAGACCCGAAAACCCTATAAACCCCAGAATCGATTATGTAAGGCTCGTACACAGCCCGAACCGTGGCGGTGCCTTTAGATCGGCTCGAGAAGGTCTGCTGTTATCAGCTTGAGGTGAATTTAAAGGCCAGGTGAGGATGTTAAAGGTCAACCTATATGTATGTACATGCAGCAATCTCTATCTCTCTCTCTCTCTCTCTCTCTCTCTCTATATATATATATCTATCTATAAGTGTTTGTTCATCTACATAGGGCCTGACATAGGGTGGACACTGCTACTCAGCATTGAATCCCAAATGGTATCCACAACCCACCTGTCCTTGATGGCCTTGTTTACCTCCACTGAGGCCTCGATCAGCATCTCGACAATCCTGGTCTCCGGGTCTAGTGGGGCTGTAGGCGTTCAGTTTTTTCGGATTGAGGATTTACTGCGGGGTTTGGGGTTTAGGTACGGACTGTCAGGGCCTAGTCCCAAAGCCCTACCTATACTCGTCAAGGTAGTTCGGTTTGGGGATTGGGTGAAGGCTTTTTTCTGGCTAGAGTGAAACGACACCACGGCTTTGCCGCTAAGTCGTGTCTGTACGCAGTGATTAGAGGAGGCTTCGGGTTGCATTCTACTGTTGCAGTAATAACTAGAACAAGGGGGCCTTAAAGGAATAATGTTGGTAATCATTTAGAAGGGGCCTCCACCCTGTAATAGTGGTATAGTAGGAATATAATAGGGCCCTAATATAATCCTTTTTGTCACTATTACAGGGTGGGGGTCCCTTCTAAGTAAACATCTAGGTTGGCCCTTAAGGCCTCGCTTGAGCCCAAGAAGGGGAGTTGTAAAGAGTCCCAAAGGCCTGCCTAGTCATTCTGGCCTCGATAGGTCGGAGGCTCGACCTGGCTAAGTGGATCCACCCTAAATCATGTCATGTTTTCGCAGAGTCAATGCATTTTGGCGACCTTATTTTAGAAAACGCCGGTATCTTCAGCATGTAAACTAGCCCTGAGCCCGGAACTGCAAGCCCTGAGTCCAAAATTACATCTGAACCCTGAACCATACACTTTAAACAGTGAAGCACCAACCCGACAGCTCCAATTCACCAGTCGAACAAAACCCCACCAGCCCCTCTCGTTTCATCTGCAGCCCACGGAGCTCGGGGCGCTGATTCAGCACGGCGATACACAGAGGTGTGAATCCATTCGGCAGCACGAGATGTACGTCGGCCCGCATGCCGAGAAGAATCTTGACTACAGTGGCCTGAAGGCAAGCTTTACCGGGGAATTCTGGCCGCTTACTTGAGGAGGTGGAAGGTTTATATATATATATATATATATATATATATATACATATATATATATATACATATACATACATACATACATACATAGAGGCACCTTAATACATTCTGTATCAGAATAGGATTGGTACTGGCTACTGGTCCTCTGCTCGGGCGGAGCATTTTTTGGCTTCGGAGGCCTTGGGCTCTCTTGATCAATGCACTCGGAGGTTCGGGCTTTATGGATTAAATGATTCTTTTAGGGTTTAGGGTTTAGGGTTTATGTTATGATTGAATATAACAGATATTGACACCATCTTGTCCAATCAACCACGAAACAGCAAATAACAAATGGCACACCAGAGACAACATCAGCAACAGTAACAAGGGCACGCCACTAGTACAGGTACAACTGCTGTGGCTCGTCACACTTCCGCCCATGTTGCCCATACTAGTGCGACGTATGCAGAATGCAAACAATGCCACGGGAATCCACGGGATTCATGCAGCAAGACGGCAGCACGCGGGCCCGAATTGATGATGCCATCACCGCGAAAGTTCATCAGTGCGTGTATGACCCGAACATCCTTGGACTTCGGTCAAGTAACTATATAGCGATGATAACAAACACAGATGCGTAAACATAGCCGTCACAGCAGCAGTTGCACAAGTCGTCGTCGTACTGGTAGTAGGACTGCTACTACCAATAGTGACGGGATAAACACCTTGAGACTAGTCATGCGATCATAATGTCGGTGGCAAGATTTGTAACCTTGCATGAAATCAGCACTACTAAGATAACGGTGGGCTCGAAACAAGGGACCAGCTACACAAATAGTCCTTCAACCTGAATCCCTAAACCATTGGACGTAATCCCTGAACCCCTGCTGCGTCGCCGTCCTGGCCCTGCTGCACGGCGATGTGGAGCGGCGTGGCCCCATCTACAGTTGTATGGTTCACTTCTGCTCGATGATGTACCTGGCTGGGGTAGTTTGGGTGGGATTAACCTGAAACTCCAAACACAGGAGGTTAGGATTTTTAACCTGCAGGAGCCCCTACCGAAACCCTATCGAGTATCTGCGGTGCCAGACGCCACGAGGCAAAATGCAAACGAAACCGCCGGAACATCTCAATGGGCTGCTTTGTCCGATCGTGCGTCGGCATTCCGCAGGACCCACATATGGGTGCTTGATGATGGGCTTGATTTTCAGCTATCATAACACGAAGGCTTCATTACCAGTTTCTATTTCCGCCTTGTATAGGCACTGACAGTCACCTAAGCCGAAACTCCGCCCCGGGTCACCAGAAAGCGGACAACATCCTCGTGGCCAAACTGACTTGCGACGTAGAGCGGAGACACCTGGTACCTGAGCTCTGAAGACAAAGTGCCGCAGGTTCTTTGTATTGTGCAGGGTTGTATGAGGTTTGCACAAAAGGTTTTATGGCGTTACTGAGTCTGTCTGAGGACTCCTATCAAAAAGGGCTCCAAAACTGAAACCACCAGAAGGCATCATACCGTTTCGCCTCATAACTTCTTGAAGGGTTCCTGTGCAATCTAGGGGCCTTAAGAACCAGAATAGGGTCTTGGGGACTTTTATACTTTAGTTATAGTAAGCCCCCCCCCCCCCAATAGTATTCGGACTCATTCGGGCCCCTGCTACATTAAGCTTACTTATCAAACAGTGTCTTTGGACTGCGTCAGTGGCTTGCAGGTTCTACGATCCATTATTGCACGCAGGGCCAACTTTATCTGGTCTCGCCTCTTCTGCGCGGAATCAAACGCCCAAAAGTCATACATACTAAGGAACTAAGCTTCAAAATCTCAGAAAATACAAATATACAGTTCAATGGACCGAAAAAGGTCTGAAGGTCAAGGACGAGAACTAAGGAATACTGAGCAAGGATTCGGCTCCGGTGTAAACGCCGTGCATGAAACTTCATTAAAGCCGGCTTTGCAAACCCAAAACACCAAAATTCACATGTTGCGGATTCGCAGGCCCAACTTACCCATCAAGCAAGGAATACTCGAACCCCAAACCGTGTTAAAACTCTCATGCACACCTGTCAAACCCCAACCCAGTTTCGTGTTCATGATTTAACGGCCTGATTTCGGATCTCTTGGTCAATCTATTGAAACGCATGAGCCCCCTACACTCCCAAACTGAATGTGCGGGCCGTCAGAGGAACAGGCTTCTTGTATGGGTTGGTCAGATCCTCTTGAAAACGCTGTACTGCAAGCAACATGGCGGCCTTCAGAATTAGAATACATAGGGTTTTGGTGGCCATCGGCCATCATACTCTCATTTTAACCAGAACCCCCCCAACATAGTGTTGGTAATTGTTTAGGCCCCTATACTATGCACGGACATCTGTCGGTATGCATTGCTAGGGACTATACGGGAAGACCAGACCTCAAACTGAACCTCCTGGTGTGCCCGGCTGCTTGTCTCTCTGGGCGAGATTGGCCCGTTTCTCACACAGGAACTGCACCTCAAAAGACGTAGCTTTGGTTAGTAGGGAATGGAGGAATGGTAGTAATTAGTAATAGCAGGTATAATTTTACCCCATTCCTCCATTCCCTACCAACCAAAGGTAAAAAGACGGCGGACTGTGCTCTCGGGTTGACAAGTTTTGCAGGTGTGCCCTGAACGGCTCCGTAAGGATCCAAGCCGCAGCTGCTTGTTTTTATTGTTGTGGGAACAGCCCCAACATCCCTCACTACTAAGTACATCTAAGTACTAATCCTAGAATTCCAGATCGCCCTACTCTCCTCGGTAGATTGGCAGCAACAAAGAAGCTTCCAGAAGGCTTCTTATTAGGATTTCCTCACTATAAGTCCTTAGAAGGGTAGTTTGAATTTGGGGTTTAGAGCTCCATGTAGAGGCCTGAACGAGTAGAATAGGCTTTGGGGGTATATTGTACTGATACGATCATAAGGAACCCACCCAAAAAACCCAATTCAAGTTACCCCAAAACCCTATTCAAATTCTGAAGGCCCCTACATTAGGGTCTGACTTCAGCCGCACCGGATGCCGGATGTTCAGCATTATAGGTATATGCTATACCTAGGACCTGTAGTAATAAGGAGCCCCCAAAAAAGTATTGGTAACTATAAAGGCCCCTATATTCATGGCCCAGCGACAACCTGGTTGTGGCCCTGCTGGGCTGCGACTTGGAGCGCACTGGCCCCTGACAACAGATCCTCAGTGTCTAGGGCTTAGTCGTTTAGGGGTTTATTCGAGCTGTTTCTGATATGCTTGCGGCTAGATCAGTCTGAAGGTCGAATTGCTGCAGGAATTACGGTGGCACTTGCTGTTGCTACGGACGCCGTCAAATTCGCCGCATCCTTCTACTGTTTGGTTCCGTTGTGTTCAAGCCGTTTCTGTGCTCCAAGATCTCATTAGTGCACCAGTATTCACGATAGCCAATTGGCTGGGAGAAATCATGCGAAAACGCTTCTAGCTGCTAGAGATAGTGTTAACTCATTAGTGCAGCACCCTAAGCCTTGATCCATCCTGGTTTCTCGGCGCATCGTACTGATTTCCCGAGCCTTTGTCACAGGGAGCCCGGCAGAGCCACCGTTTGTACTAACCTACAAGTGCTTCGCATCCATACATACGTCCGACAGTCCATGCATGTGCATGCGCGTAAATGCACACGTGTGTCCATTCCTCCCTCCATACCTCCTTGCATACAGGAATATCGAGTCGTATCCACACAAGCGCGCGTACTCATAGAAGTACAAAGAGCACATCCTTTCGACCGGCTACGGAAACCATGAGCCCTAAGCTCAAGATGCACGCATACCACACTGAAAAACCCACCTGCTGTAAATGTTCTACCCTGGACCTCCTTAAGCCCGGAAGTGCAAAGCACGGCAAGACCTGCTGTAGCTCCAAACTCTGGCGATGAACTACTGCAAGCTGGGACCACGCTTTGCCTAGAAAGCTCAATCTCACTCATAGCTACATGACCCACAGAAAAGACCACAACCCTAAAGCTCCGCGAGACACACGAAAAAGCTTAGCAGCTCGTACAATACTGTTGTGCCCTGTGAAAAACCTGATAACACGTCTAGATTAAAGTAAAACTCTCCACATGTAGAGGCCTCAAAACGTGGTATGAAGGAAGGTAGGATTAAGGATCCCGTATATAAGGACTCTTATTTTGGGATTACACCACCCTTGTGCAAACACTCTGTTTTGATGATTACATCACCTATGTTCTTCCCACCTTAGATCCCTAAACCCTGAACCCAATAAAGCCCAAAATGGCCTTAGAGCCCTGAACCCTAAGCCCGAACCCCAAAGTACCCTTAGAGCCGTTTGACACACGGAGACCTTGAGCCATGTTGCGGTTTGACGCAGGTCTGCTCTTCCTCGCCTTGGTCAGGATCGGGGTTTAGCGGTTCAGGGTTTAGGATTTAGGGGTTTAGGATTTAGGGCTTTGGGACAATCTTGCATGTAATGGAACATGGCTAAAATGGGGCCCTTAGCCATTAGACTAGGATTTCGAGGTTTCTTCTGGCATATTGTATATAGCCGAACCCTGAAGGATAGTGTTAGTATCCATGCCGACCCCGAAATGACGGCCAGTTACAATTAAAACATGCATTGGTACGGTGGTCTCAGCTCCGTGACGCCGTGACAGTAGCAGCCTCTGCTGTGAATCATTGTTCTAAATTTCACGTCAGCTGGTGACATCGGGGAGCGTTCAGAGAGATTTAGGGTCGTGGTCAGGTTTAGGGCTTTAGGGTCTGGGCCCGCGTGAATGCAAAAGGGCCATCGTTGAGATTTTGCTGCTTTACACTGCAAGACAGATGCCACCTACCCAACAGTCTCATTTCCGGGGCTGTGGTGGACGGCCCACAATACGCAAAACCGATACCCTGAAATCCTCCAAAGAATCGGCTTCCGAGCATGCCTCTCCGAGTGGAGTGGTGATTTGGGGTGGTGCGGCTGGGAGGCACAAGCCACTCCACTTTGTCGATGTCACCGCAGAAGCTGGCCTGCGCCAGGGCTTGGGGTTTAGGGTTTAGGGTTTAGGACCAAGGGGCCCAGTTGAACCCCGCAAGACGGTTTCGGCGCTAGGCTTGGGAGTTTGGTGCCTATCCGAATTGCCTGGAAACTTCCTCTGTAAGGGCCTTAACAATTAGAATAGGGTAGTGGGGTTCTTTATACTATCATTATAGTACGGAACCCCACAAAATATTATTCTAGGATACCCCAGTAACCTAGGAATAAAAAGTTCTTTTTAGTTTTGGGTAACTTGATAAACAGGAACCTATAAGACTACAAAAAGGGAATAAGGGTACTACTGGGCATCCTAGTATCGGTAATTATGTAGGCCCCGATACTATAGAACCCTACTAAAGATCCCTTATAAACCCCTTATAGAAGCCTGTAAAAGGAACCCTACTATAGATCCCTTATAAACCCCCTTAAAGGAACCCTAATTATAGATCCCTTATCAACCCCTTCTAGAACCCTTTAAAAGGAACCCTATATTGGTAATCATTTCGGCCCCGATGGTATTACCTTCATCTTCGAGGCTCCTGCTCCCAAGAGGCTGATTTGCCTTGGGTCCGGCCCCCGTACAGCAACAGTCCATAGGGTTTAGGGTTTACGAATTAGGGTTTAGGAATTAGGGTTTAGGAATTAGGGTTTAGGGTTTAGGGTCTATAATAGGGCTACTAGAAGGTCCTTATATCTCTATATTATGAGTATTATCCAACTGTTACTGAGTGGGGGCAGTACCCAAGATTTGCCTTTAACCCCAAAACACCCTAGAAAGCGTCCGACGCAACCCTAAACCCAGGGTTTAGGGTTTGGGGAATTCCTACTTTACAGAATAATGCCCAACGTAGCTATGTAGAGTATATACTGTGACTCCCTTAATTTACGACAAAGATCGCAACCTACTGGGTCTCACTGCTGTAAAAACTGGGATTTTCTGACACTCACGAGTTGGAGAACTTAGGAACTCTTGCTTTGCAGAAAACTTTGGAACCTCCGGCCTTCCACAGCGCGCTGCGCCCGCGGAAGTCTGTGCAGGAGAGTTCCTGCAAGGAGAAAGCCGAACCGAGTATGCTAAACCCTAAACCCCACACCGGGCATGATAATTCCAAGCCTTGGTTTTGCAGTGAATTGTAGCGCATATAGTTACAGCAAGGAGCATTGAGGAACAGCAGTGCTAGTTTTTCAATCCTCTATAGTAGGCTTGAGGCTATCTCTCGTGCTTTTCGTAGCCGACCCAAACCAATGTGCACGAAGGAAGAAGTCCGCTAAAGCCTGAATCCTAAACCCCCAAGCCTAAACCCTAAACCCCTGAATTTTATACCCTGAACCCTAATCCCCTAAACCCTAAACCCCTCAACTATATACCCTGAACCCTAAACCCCTAAACCCTAAACTCTGACCTAGAAGCCACAGACCCCCAGAGCTCAAGCCCGAACCCTCAAGGCTCAAGCCTAAACTCTTAGCCCGGAACGCCCAAACACCTTCGGAATACCCCAGCAATCATTGTCGTAGCGGGTCTTTGATTTAGAGTTCCTACATCCTAAACCCTAAACCCCGCAAGCGCCGGAAACCCTAGACCTCAAACCCTTACTAAGGGACCCAGTAACCCATCCCTTGTAGGAACCCCTGGTAGTAACTGCAGAGCAGGGGTCCACGCAGTCCAAGAGCGACTTCAGGCGACCCGTGGCGTCCTTCAGCGGCACGACAGAGCGGAGATGGCAAAAGTTGCGATAGAGCGTGCTATAAAGGACCTCTATGGATCCTCTATAGGTCCCTTTAAAGGAAGCCTTAATGGAACCCTTACGGGCTTTACGGGTTGAGGCGCCTTAAGAGTTAGAATAGGGTGGCAGAGGGGTGCATGGTCTTTGGGAGTTCATGGTGTTCTAAGACGCTGACCTTAATAGGGCTTCAAGAAGGGCTGTAATGCGGTTTCATGGGGATGTATATGGACCTTGTAGTAATTCAACCCATCACGCTAGAAGAACACAGATGGCCGACTACTGACCACTGTCCCCATTGTAGCAACTGTGTTCAGTTCCGCAATTCTGTTTTTTGTGAACACCGCCGTAAAGAAAAAACATCAGAAAAAGCCTTGCTATCTCCGTTCCTTGCAAAAGGCCTTGAAACCTTACCTTAACCTAATCCCAAAACCTACATCCTGACAGGCACAACCCCAAACTCAACTCCCAACTTTCCTCAGAAGAGGCCTCAAAAGCGTACCTCCACTAAAACCCCAAACCCCACATCATCGCGACACCCTAAACCCCCAAACTCAAATCTTCAACAGCAGAGCCGAATGGCGGAACCCGGCATAGATGCTGTGCGAAGCAGGTCACGCTGCAGCGCCTGGGGTGGCGGAACACACATACCCCAAAAGCAGGGCAGTTGTAAGTAGGGTTATAAGTAAGGTAACTATAATTGCAATCTATATCAGGGGACTAACTAGCCGACTTATATGAATCTTACCTGTTGTCGGGCTTTTTCCGATAATTTCCTGATATAAGAGCGGTTCTTTGGGTGTTTCGGTAAACCCGCCCTGCCCTACGCACCTCTACGCACCCCTCCAGCCCAATTTGGGTTCTGGCTCCCCATTTTGGGGGTTTCCGAACATAGGGGACCCTACTATAGTACCCTAAATAGCAAGATCCTTATTATAAGGACCCCAAAATAAGGTACCCCTCATTTTCGGACACTCCCATTTTGGGGATTACGTACGGACCCAATAATTTGCAGACACGAGGCGAGGGCAGACTAGGAGTTTCATACGCGTGGTTGTCAAAATTAGGGTCCCTTTTTGGGTCCTTATTTTAATACGGCACCTAATACTTAGGGTACCCAAAAAGGGACCATAATTTTGACAACCACCCATGCAAACAAACATTGCGCACTCACATCCCGATGGGGGATGGTCTTTCAGGGGCTTGATCCCGCAGTGGCAAGAAATCTGGAATTTGTTGGTAAGGGTGCAAAGACACGCCATAGGTCATGCAAGCTGTAGAGCTTAAAACCATAAAACCTTAAAGCTCCTGCCCCTTACACCCCAACCCTAGGTGGCCAAATAAACCCACACACCTCGCGCTGTGTGGGGATTCAAATTAAACCTATGTACACAGAGGCCTGCCGCTCGTTTGTTGGTCAGCGTGGGTCTTTTTGGCTGCGTTGAATGACTTTAGTAGGGAATGGGGGAATGGATGCCTATAGTAGTCCCTATATAATCCCCAATACCAGTCTCCATGATGCGCTCCCCCATCCCTACTAAGAACCAGGCAGATGACACGGCTCCCTGCGGTTTTGTTCAGCCTTGATGTGCGGAGCTGCACTTTGGCTTGAAACCCATATGTGTCCACGTGTGGACGAACAATCTTGCACGTCTGCTGCACATGATGGAGAACCGCTGAACCGTTCGGATATCAGCAAGGTTGGATAGCTCACAATACCACTACCCTTGATTATTTACCTCATGAAGGAGACATAGCGGAGAAGGAGTCGATTCGTTTCCAGTTTGGATTGCATGGGAGTGCGGCTAAAGCTTACTTTACACATCAGACCCTCAAACCCGGCCCTAAGCCCCGAAAATTAGCACACTAAAGCCTTCAACCCTAGACCTAAATCCCCGATACCCTAAGCTCCAAATCCCCAACCCGAACTTTAAACAGTGAACTTCCCGAAAATGCCGGCCTCCTTGTCGCCGCTCACTGGCAGATCCTTGCCTTACAAATGACGGATTATTCGTTTAGAATTTCCGGCTTACGGAAACGGTGTTGTAGGGTTTCCTCCCATGTTTCAAAACCCAAGAGACGAACCCTGGGCTCTCCAGAAGGAAGCTAGCGGTACAGAACCCTGGGAGCGCACATGTCCGGTACTGAAGCCCTCCCTAAGCCGTTGATGAATGCCACCGTCAGATTGAAATTCAATCATGTCTCCCCAAGCTTCTCGACTTCGTGCACATGCTCTTAGGCACTGCAGCCCTTCTCTAGGTGAGACGAGAAAGGGGCCCAGCATCCGCAAGCAAACGGGTGTGGGGAACTTACTCGCCTTGTGTGCTTAGTGCTTGGTCTCACCGACTATAAAAAATATTCCCAACAGCTTCGGGTTTGCAATCATATCCGCAAGCCCTAAACTGTAAACCAAAACCCCCAAACTCTCAGTCTTCGTCCCTCAACCATGAATGCGGTTGAACCCTAAGCCCGGTAACCCCTGAACACTAAACCCCTAAGCCCCTTAACCCTGAACCCCAAACTCTGAACCCTACACTCTAAACCAAAAAAACGCTCTTTACCCTGAGCCCTAAACTGCGTAAGCTCTTAACCCTGAACCCTAAACTCTCTAAACCTTCATGTCCCTAAACTGTAAAAAACCCTATAAACCCTAAGCTCAAGATGCAGCTTCGGCGGCGGCCACCCGTAGGGAAGGTGAAGGCGCCTGGCATGTAATAGTTCCTGAGCTCTCAGAGTTTTTAGGGTTTTGCGGCTTATAGGGTTTAGAGTGTAGAGGCTTCGGGTTTGGGGTTTAGACTTATAGGATTTTAGGGGCGTAGGTTTTGGAGTTTAAGGGTCTAGAGTTTAGGGTTTAGGCTCCGGGATAGACTTAAGCGTTCCAGGCATTGGGGTTTAGAGTTGTGTGGGGCTTAAATGCCACGTCTTGGACATGCTACCTTTGGGGAGGCCAGGTTCAAAACACGCGAACCCTCATGGAGACTCTCAGCAGCGGTCTCCTTCCTCCCTAGTGGTGTTGGGTTGAGTACATGGTTCCGTATGGCTTAAAACCCCAAATAGTCGTGCAATACTGCATCCCCAACACCTTTCCGAATTTCAAGGGGAAGACTCTAAACCCATCGAGGAGTCCTTACCGTAGCAAAATCGGGGATACTACAGGTTAACCTTTGGGAATGTATTGGGATGGATTGCCGTTAGCTCTAAACCCTATACTACCCCCACCCCCAAACAAGGTCAAAGGGCACCTACTCTACTGTGAACGGCCTGATGACAAGGCGCTGCTTGTACATGAGCATCTGCCGCACCTGATGAGCTTTTGGAAATGGTATCAGGCTTCGGGCTTTTGGGTTTTGGACTTTCCGAAAATAGGGGACCCTAATATAGTACCCTAAATCGCAAGATCCTTATTACAAGGACCCTAGAATCAGGTACCCCTAATCTTCGGAAACTCCCCAAATAGGGTTTCGCGCTTGGGGCTCAAGGAAAAAAGAGGTGACCTTCAGGCGATCCCGAGCTCAGATCTCGGCTTGGCTGTCGTTGTAACATGCTTGTCTTCGTCCTTGCAATACCTTAACCCCACATAACCTACCTTTTCATGGGACGTATATAAAGAAATCATATTAGGGAACCCTAAAAAGGTAGGTTCATTTAGGTCCAAGTATATGGGTGGTCGTCGAAATTAAGGTCCTGTTTTGGGTACCCTAAATATTCATAGGTGCCGTATTTTGATAGGGACCCAAAAAGGGACCCTAGTTTTGACAAGCACCCATATGGAGGTTGCCACTTCGGGTCCATAAATGCATCCCCTTGGGCTCGAATTTGAAGCTGTAGTTAAGTATGTATTCATGGATCAGGATGATCGATTTTTGGCTGGCGCAAAAAACCCACCGCTGTTCATGAGGTCCGGCACTGTGCCGGTGTTGCTCGGGATGCGCAGCTCACTAGCATTTCCCTTCGACGGTGGCGGCGGCTGAGGCTACCGGTACAGTGTTGAGCGCCTGACAGCGGCGGCCCTCATTGCCGCTCTTCAACAACAAAACCCAAACTCCACAGGCCTAATAAACAAAAAGCACTTAACCGTAAAGCCCACACCGCACAACCCGCAAGCCGTCATGGCCTGCACATATCTCTGCCCGATCAGGTTATGCAGAATCCAGGACGTGCTGGTCGGTTCGAGAGCAGTCCTGGCTGGACAAAGGTCGGTCTAATATGGGAGCCTTGATAATTAGAATAGGGTTTTGGGGGCCCACTATACGGTATCTATATAAGGGACCCCCAAAATAGTATTGGTAATTGTTGAAGCCCCTACTGCAGGCGTCTAGTTCCCGTAGCATTAAATCAATAAACTAGGAAGGCAACTATCAACATCAGCAGCACCAGCGGCAGGTGCGGGAGCATCAGAGGAGCGGTAGTAGTCGTAGTTGTAGTCGTCGCAGCAAGTGGAAAGAGGAGCCGGGGTGCCCCTTTGCTGTTGTCAAATCCCTGAGACCCTCCATCCCTGGCTTCTCGCCCTGACGAACCTGACAGCCAGCGAATAAATCTCCAAGAACCGAAATGTCGTGCCTACACCAGAATTCCTAAACTGGGCTCTGAGGCAAGCAAGAAAACCCATGTCTGACAGAATGTACCAAAGTCGTTTCGACTAGGAACTTGAGACGTGGGTCACAAACATATGGCACTTCAGACTGCAGCATAACCCCTGAACCCCCAAACCGTAAACCCTAAACCCAATACCAACCTAACATTCAATCCGACGCTTCGGACGTAATTATACTTTGCACCTCCCCGGGGCTGGGCTTTAGGGTCGAGTTTGTCAGCATGTCACACATTGGGGAACCTATGGGATACTGCTACAACTTATTCGGACCACCTGGCTTCAGTTGAACAACAGCCCCAAGTCTTGTCTGAGCCAAGTCTCTGCACATCGGCGTCGTAGTTGAGCAATCTGAGCTAAGGCTCAGGAATCATGTTCAGAGTTTTGGCAACTTCAGTCAGTCAATTGCATAAGACCGAACCAGAGAACCTTACCTACTTGGTTCCAGCCCCGAGAACTGACAACTCCATGCAGGGTTTGCAGCCCCCAAAATCGAATGTCGATTGAGACCCAGACGCTACAACCCACAATCCAAATCCCAAAACGAAACCACCAACGCGTCACAGCAGGTTTCCATCCCTTTTGAAGCCAAGCCAAATATGAAACTCCTTAAACCTACCTATAGACTCCATAGTAGTTCCTTTCGGGGTTGATCTTTGGAATCGTATATGGCAATCCCCAAAAGGAGCTACTATGGAGCCTATGGGCAACTCTTGAACTCAACTCCACAACTTTATCGGATCATACAGCGTGCGATAGTTTGCCCTACGAACCGACACTCCTGTCATACTTGCCTTCGGCACTCCACACTGCGGCCCCAATATACAACAGCGCACATATCTTTAGAACCCTGACATACCACCTCTGACAAGACATAACCCTCACAGAAAGCCCTTGTAGCCAGCAATAAGTATACAACCCCCGAAATATAGAACCCCCCAGAATAAAGCTCGAACGTGAAACATCGAGAGTCAACTACACCTAACCTAATCCGCTACGATTACAGACTGTTTACAGGCTACCTCTAATAAACCCTGACATATACCCTGAGCACCCGTAACATGAACCCTTGAATAAACCTTAAGCCAAATATGACACCCTTCACACCTAAAACCCTTCATCCCTAAACCCTCAATCCGCTCAACCCCCTAAACCCTAAACCCTAATCCCTAAACCCTAGGCCCTAAAACCTAAACCCTAATCCCTAAAGTTTAGGGTTTACGGTTTAACCCTAATCCCTAAAACCTAAACCCTAATCCCTACATGCCCAGGTGCGTGCCGACCATATCGACATCCGCCTGCTCCACAGCGAGGCTCAGGGCGGTCTTCCCTGCCCAGAGAGCCGGGTGTCGGGGTTTAAGGGTTTCGGGCTTTAGGGTTTAAGGGTTTATGTTTTCAGGCTTGCAGGGTTTAGGGTTTTAGGGCTTCGGCTTTTAGGGTTTGCGGTAGGGTTTAGGTCCAGGTAGGGCTTTAGAGGTTCAGGGTTTTAGGGCTTCAGGTTACTGGTAGATCCTTCAAAGACAGGACATTCCTGACAGAATGCAGGGTTTCGTACTAATGACTTGAAGACTGAACACTTTAAGCCTGAACAGGGGGGCTCTTATTGTGATCTCAAGCGTATTCCGCACAGAATAATCAGTGTAGGAATAGTCTGCAATGCCCTGGGGCTAAAGCCTGGCTCCTCGCGTGAACTTGGGGCCTGAGTCCCTAAGCACACGTAACTCAAAAGTGGTTTAGGGTTTAGGGGCCTTAGGACTACCCATAGGCCCCAAAGTAGTTCCTTTCTGGGGTTCATATATAGAATATACTATAAGGTAGTCCCAAAAAGGAACTACTTTGGGGCCTTAGGACTATCGTAGCATGAGGCCGGAAGGTGCCACGTAAGTCATTCGGAGCGATGCCTGCATGGCGGTTGTGCTCGTTGAACTGTCTGTTGCGGAAGTTGATATCTGCCTTGTTCTTGATCAACCTCGGGCGGTGTAGGGTTAAGGGCTTAATATAGGGGCCTTACTAATTGGAATAGGGTTCTGGGGTGTCTTATACTATACTTTTAATCCGGACCCCCACCCCCCCAATAGTTTTGGAATCATAAAGGCCCCTACCTTTCTTGAAGCAGGCGGTCGAGGGTCTAAAGTTTACGGTTTAGGCTGCTGCACAAGACCGATATCTCGAGGTTTCTGAGTAGCCCCTCAGAGTACCCTTTCTCCACTACTTGGCTTTATCTAGGGCCTCTAGGGGGCCCAAAAATCAAAACGGCATAAGGGTACTACTGAGGAGCCTAATATTTGATGATTTGCAATTGGCAGACATGGAATGGGTGTGCTGGGGTGGGGTTGCTGCAACTGCTGCTGATCTCGAGCTTGACAAAAACCAGATGATGCAGATCTTTCTCAATACCAGCATACATCCATCATGCTCATGACCAGCAGCGTGAATATTGCGAATGCGAAGTGCTTCTACAAGACATGCACCCCGCAAAGACACAAAGAAGATGGAGAGAAAGAGGAAGAATGAGAAAGATCGGATGCACATGTGCTTCAGGAATGCCTGGCAGCTCACAGCAGACGAAAGTACTTGTAAGACTGATCACAACTAAGCCGGTTAATGATGCGTAGACAGAATATGGCAGCATCTTACTCAAAACAATCATGTGACAAGGACCATCGCAATCATTGGCAACATTCATCTACCGTCCGTAGAAAAAATCGGAGTCTGGGCCAGACCAGGATTGCGTTCATCGGTTTGGGTCATCCTGGTTTGAAACAATTGGTTCACAAAAACCACGCCTTCCACCAATAAGCCCTAAACCCTAAACCCGAAACCATAGACCCTAAACCTGAAACCCTAAACCCGAAACCCTAAACCCGAAACCCTAAACCCTAAACCCGAAACCCTAAACCCTAAACCCTAAACCCTAAACCCCGTTTAGGATGGCCGAGATGCAAGCATGACATCTGCTGGTGCCCGTACTTTACCTCGCGCGATGCTTCAAGGGTTTGCAGTGTGCAGGCCTTTTTTCTGTAACTCTAGTCCTTCTAGAACAAGCAGTAGTAGTCGTCGTAGTACCCTGAACCCTTAACCCTAAACCAAAACCAAAAACCCAAACCCTAAACCCGAAACCAGAAACCTAAACCCTAAACCAAAAACCTAAACCCTAAACCAGGGCTTGCGTTGCGTTTCTTGAGGGTTCGCCTGAATGGCCCGTTTTCGGGGCTAGACCTGCAAGCGAAGCTAGTTCAGGGGCCTTTTTGCCCATTGTGAGTTTCCGAAAATGGGGGGCCCTAATATAGTACCCTGAATAGTACGATCCTTATTATAAGGACCCCAAATTCAGGAACCTCTAATATTCGGAAACTCACAATTAGGACAGGTCTTTGGGCATATCGTAGAAGCAGCACAAATAAAGGACTGCAAAGGGACGGCATGACTAGTTCTTCAGACTTCAATGCTAGACTTGTAAACGAAGCTAGGCGCCACTATACGACTCAGAGCTCGGCTTTGGAGAAGTCCCTGGCAACCGCAAAATCCGTACCTACTAGCTCTGCTCTGCTGGACATGCTAATGCAAGACATCGTCCTCAGTTCTGACGGAACGCGAGAAACCCTACAGTTAACCCCATAAAGTTGGAAACCGGATTAAGGCCAAATAGTGCTGGGATCCCCTTGACATTGCATTTCAGGGTTTCCGGCTTCTACTGTAAAGGTAAGAACATAATGCGTCATTGGGGTTGCCCTCTGCGTGAGCTCAACGAGATAATTGTGGTCGGAATCCGGTAACACAGCGCCACGGGTCAGGTTTAGGGTTTATGGCGTTTTTAATAAGGGATAAGAGCTTTGGTCTAAAGTTGAGCGGTCTTGTCTCGAGTCTTAAAACTTCCGCTTGTCTTTACTGGGACGTTGAAGCAAACCCTAAACTCTAAACCCCAAAACTCAGTTGATAGTGTACCTAAGACATGACCCGTACCCCGCTCTAGGGTACTCAGGTCGTGCAGACTGGTGGCGGCGTAGTGGAGAGCCGTAAAGCCGTCTTCGTCGGGTTTGTTAGGATCTGCTTTGCCCTGACAGGAGGCATGTCTGTCTAAAACGAAACCCGCTCCCCCTAAACCCTAAACCCTAAACCCCCATAGATCCCTTATAGATCCCTTTATAGATCCCGTTAAGGAAGCCTTTAAGTTACTAAACCATTTTGCCACACAGTATGTGGGAACCTCAACTCGGGCGGCAGACTAGCCAAGCGGATTAGGGCTTAGGGTTGAGAGCCTGCAGCTAGGATACCCAGTAACCTGTGAGTAAAAAGGCCTCTCTTTTTGGTATTGGGTAGCTTTATAAGGAACCAGGACTACAAAAAGGGAATAAGGGTACTACTGGGCATCCTAGTAGGGTTAAGAGCCTGCAGTTTTGAGCTTGGGGTTCAGAGCTTTGGATTTAGGATTCAGAGCTGTCGGTTTTCGGGGCAGGGCATCGGGTTGCAAAGATAACATTGAATCTTGTCAGGAAGATGGTGAATCGAAGGCTGGAGGGGTTTCACGGTTCGGAGGAGACTGAGATCCTAAGCATGCCTTGGACCAAACACAGACCAGCCCAAACCAAAAAACTACATGACCCTAAACCCTGAAACCTGAACCCCCATAAACCGCTATATAAACCCTGACCCCTTAACCTCCCTAAACCCCCAAACCGTAAACCCCTAAACCCTAAACCCTGAACCCTAAACTATAAGCCCTGATTCCCAAACATGAGCCCCAAAGAAAGTGTCCTACCTGTAATGAAGGAACCTGATTGAGAAACCTTGGGCCTTTAATGGCTTCCTAACATGAATCGGGTTCCTACATTCGTCTCCACCGTAGTTCCCTTTTGGTTAACCGTACGTATTCATATTGAGGATCCTATATAAAGGTAACCTGCAAAAGGAGCTGTAACTCCAATGAAGGCTGTAGGTGGTGTAGGGGGCCTGAGCTGGGAGGTTTCGCAGTCGCAGGATTACGCCGGCGTCGTAAACAAACGGGTTCTGGGTTTAGGGGTTTGGGGGTTTTGGGCCCGGTTTACGGGTTTAGGGATTCTTGGGTTTAGAGGTTTAGCTTGAACAGTCCGCAAAGAAAGCGGAACTCGAGATGCAAAGCCGGAGGACCTTGGGAGGAATGCACTCGACATCCAACTTCTCTCATGCTCAAAAGCAGCGAGACCAACTCAGATCAAACCCCAAACCGACGAGCAATCATATGGGTGGTTGTCAAAAACATGGTCCCTTTTTGGGTACCCCAAATATTAGGTGCCGTATTATGATAAGGACCCGAAGAGGGATCCTAATTTTGACAACCACCCATATATTACATAGTATTATGCTATTGATGTCTAAACCCCACTAAACCCTAAACCCTAAACCCAAGGCCATATCTGCACCGGACCCTGCAGTCGAGCCAAGGATATTTGACTTTGACAGTTCCGGCGGCCTTCAGCAGAATGTTGAGGATTTGCATGGAATAGAAATCGTCCACGGCCTGCATTCTACCCAGATTCCGTTAGAATAACAACTCACATTGTTCACATGGCTTCACCGGAGTTTATACGGCAACGAAGAAAAAGGCTGGAAGGAACCCTTTCCCAATCACCAAACATCTGAAACCCAACAACTCAAACCTATAACGACTGAATCCCGAAGCCATTCAACTTCCAGGCCATAAACCCCCAAACCTTGAACTATTGCAGCCCATAAGCGCCCACAGCCCCCAATCTCATCTCACACACATCCCACACAACAAAAGGCCCCTAAACCCCAAACCCCTAAACCCCTAAACCCCTAAACCCCAAACCCCTAAACCCCTAAACCCCTAAACCCCTAAACCCTAAACCCCTAAACCCTAAACCCTAAACCCCTAAACCCCAAACCCCTAAACCCCTAAACCCCTAAACCCCAAACCCCTAAACCCCTAAACCCTAAACCCCTAAACCCTAAACCCCTAAACCCTAAACCCTAAACCCCTAAACCCTAAACCCTAAACCCCTAAACCCTAAACCCTAAACCCCTAAACCCCTAAACCCTAAACCCCTAAACCCTAAACCCCTAAACCCTAAACCCTAAACCCTAAACCCCTAAACCCTAAACCCCTAAACCCCTAAACCCCTAAACCCTCACCCCTAAACCCGGAATCCGAAGCCCTCAACTCTTCAACCTCCCATCCGAACCCCCCTTGAGTCCAGCCACCGCTGCACAAGGGCCCTTCAAGTTCTCGGAGATCCATGGTTTAGGGTTTATAGGTTTAGGGATTTAGGGTTCAGTTTGTAGTGTTTTAGGGTCTAGGGTGCTGGGATTTAGGGTTCAGGATTCAGTTTGTAGTGTTTTTGTGTTTAGGGCTCGGTTTGGGGCTTAGGTTTTGGGGCTCTGGCTCTGGTTCGAGGCGGGTTGAGTACATATACTGAGGTACAAAAAATCCTGAGGCCTGCTAGACTAGCAGCCCTCCTACGTCGAAGCGGTGCCGAGAATACACGGCAGCATGAAAGCAGAGACATCCCCGGAGACCCCAAATCAAACACACCTCAGAATAATCATAACAGTACTGATATCAATCATAATAACAATTCATCATAACCATAACCATGATAGTAACTGATAGTAAATCACGCCGGTGGTGAAGCCTCGGAATGCGAGGTCATGTGGATAAGCGGGGTTACCCCTTCGGAATTGAAGTCGTTCGTGTTGGCCTCGGTCTGGGAGGGCATCCTAGGGATCATGAAACCCGTAGCGCCGAAAGCGTTCAAGGCAGGTGTGGGGAATTCAGTCTTTGTCCTTGGTGCTCTCTTATTCGAAATTAAACGGAAGATGCCCATGTACCAACCTGCACTCAGATCTTACCGCTGGCGTACTGTGGATCTGGAGAAAACAGGGCGAAGCCCGATGCCGTAAACTCAGAGAGATACGATACAGGGAACCCTGTTGTTGCCCCTATGGGATGTGTGGGTGCCCCTTTTTTGCGTACCTGAAATAAGAGGTGCCGTACTATGCTGGGGATCCAAAAATGGACCATAATGTTGACAACCACCCGTGTAAAATCTTGGGCACGAACCAGCACGCTAAACCCCAATTGAGCTGTGGTCGATTGGGGAGTTTGGCACGTTTGGAATTGTAGGGCTTGGGGGTTCTAGTGCTGTAAGGTGAACTGCAAAGATTCTAGAACTCAGGGACAGAGTCAGAGTGCTTCAGGGTTCTAGGGTTTAGGGTTTGCTTGCTGGCTATCATCCTGCTCTCTAGCACCCAAACTTGCTGGCCTCAGATAGACTGTAAAGACCCTCAAGCCGTGAACCCGAAACAGTAGAGTATAACCCCCACCCTGCATGCCCCAGTCAGTCAGTCCTAAACGCAAATGCCTTACTCTCTAAGCCGCCTCCGCCCCAACCTCATGCCAAACTCTAAGGCCTAAACCCTGAACCCTGTCCCCCTTAGGGTACCCCCCCCCCCGCCCCAACAGTATGGAACTCTTGTAAACTGGACCCAAAAATTAGGGACCCTGACTTAGAGGACTACCCATGTCAGGGCCGGCGGCACGGGATCGGATCAACGCTTGCAAGCAATCCCAATCGCCTCGGTCTTTGTAGAGGGCTACAGGTCAACATAACAGTGATACCAAGAGAGGTGTTCTAACACGCTGCTGCAGGGGTCTTTTCCGTACTCAATTATTGGTCTCTGTAAGTAGGCCTCGTTCCCTATGGATCAAAATAGCCCAAAAGCCTTTTATATAGCATGGTCTTTCGGCCCAAAAGCCTTAATATATGAGTCCTTAGATCCCTGGGGGTTGCTGTCTGGAACTCCGTTAAAACTCTTCGACCCCTAGCCTCAGTATACGACAAGGGAGGAACTGAGCTTTGAAGTCACCAGGGAGAAAAATAGTATAGACGTTTATCCCGTAAGGTTCCTTTAACAGGTCCCCCCAAAAGAGCATTTTAGTGTGGCACTCCAACGCCTAGGGAACTGAGCAAACGGGAAATGAAAGCTCAACCGACAGTTTGGGCTTAGGGTTCTGTTAAAGGGTTTAGGGTTCCGCGGTTGGGGTTGAAGGTTGGCAGCGCACGGCATAACTCTGTGCAAGCTTGGCTAGGCGGCAAGGCTCGAAACCATCGAACGAGACGCAACATGAGCTTTTGGGATTTCTTCCGCCAACACAGAAAGGCTGAGGCAAGCGTCAAATAATGCAGCCAGGCCCTGGATTTTTACTCTGCCCGGCCACCGCCATGCTACCCTCAACTCACTCACTCACTCACTCGCGCAAGAGGATGTCCTGTGCTAACTACGGCGTGCAAGGGCCCAAAAGCGTGACTGCTGTAGCCGCGCGGCCGGAAATGGAAACACTGTACAGAGGCGGCGAGTCATGCTGCCGGATAGGCCCAAAAAGCTCGCAGAGGAAGCGAGGCCGGGGCCGAGCAGGCAGGGCGAGCAAAGACTGCACGCACAAGGGAGGCCAAGGAAGCAGAGCTAGCGACAAGGAAGACCCGACCCCTCGGCGAAAGGAAGTCCAAGAAGAAGGCCGCCGGGAGCAGGCGGCGCAGCAGGGCAAGACCTGAATTGCTGGGGCGCCCCCAAAGCCAGAGGGCACCGCTGCGGAGGACAGCCTTGCAGATCATACGGAAGGACACCGTGGCAGCGGCCAACTCCAACAGGGACCACTTGCCAGTGGTGGCATCAGCAAGGGAGGCGGCTGCGCCTAACCCGCACGAAGAGGCGGAGCGCAGCGCACCAAAGCGACGGATGGCCCGATGCTCCCAAGGTTCAAAGAACTCGAGCGCGGACCACATAGGCCAGAGCCTGTGCCAGGAGGAGGGAAGCTGAAAGACACCTCCGAGGCCAAGAAGCCCAGGCCACCAGGGCGAGGGAAGAGCCCAGTCGTCACAACCAGCAGCCCCTTCCACAACGGAGAACCATTGCAAAGGGTGTTGCGCAGGAGAGGCCGCCGCAACAGTGGCCGAGCGGGAATTCTGGGAGGCAGGGGACTTGGGGGAGGAACCACAAGCAGCGGAGATCTGGCAGGCCTGCTGTGCGCCGAAGGCATCGTCGGAAGGCGACAGGGAAGATGGCCGATGCAGGTTGCCGGGGACGAGGTCCGAGAGGGCAGGGGAGCGTTGAACAGCGTCCCACTCAGCTTGCAGGGCCGCGTCGTCTGCCGGCACCCCAAGGTCGGCCGCCCTTCTCTGCGCTGGGGTGGCATTGCAAGGCCCGCAGATGCGTTGCGGAGGGACTCCCCGGTGGCTGGCGCGACCCGAGCGTTTTGTGCCCGAACCGTACTGATAGACAGGGCCGACTGTAACGCGCAGGCCGTGCAGGCAGGAGCGCTGCGTTTGAAGGTGGTGCTTCAGTCGATCCGAGGATTGGAAGTCTCGCATGCACCAAAGACAAACCGAGCCCGCCATATAGGCAGTCACATCAGACAGGACGCCGTGTTTCCGATGCATGTGAGCTCGGACTGCATGAAGGCTCGGGAAAACACCTCGACAGACCGGACAACTGTGGGATTGTGGCGCACCTAGGATCTGGGTGGTGCGACGGGTGGCCAGGTCCGCCCAAAGCTGGGCGCAGGCAGCATACCTGTGCCCAAATTTGCTCAGAGCTTTGCACGCTCGAAGGAGAGCGCGTCCGTTCTGCTGAACGAACAGGACAGTGATGGCGGGAGGAGCGGCGGGGTCCCAGGAGTCAAGGGCGACTCCCACTCGCAAACAAGCAAGGACGAGGGCCTGACACCAAGGGATTGCCCGGTTCCACGCAGCATCAACAATTTCCCTGACAGCCGCTGGAGCCTTGCAGAAAAGTTGCACACAAAGGCGGCACTGGCTAACAGTGGTAGCAAGGTCAGGAGGGGTGATATCAGCGAGAAGCCGAAGCAAGGGGGTGGTAAGTTTGTGACCGACTTGCCAGGATGACAGCAGGATTCTAGCTGTGCGTTCAAAGAGTCCAGCCAATGGCGCAGCAGCCCGGGCGGAGTCAGCTCGCGAGAAGGCCAAGGAGGAGTAAGCTGAGGGGAGAACGCGGCCGGTAATCCAGGCTCGTTTCAGTTCCCAGGGCAGGCAATTGCTGCACAGCAGGGTTCGGGCAAGCGACGCCGCCGCTGACCCCCGCTGTGCCGACAGCTCGCAGTCACGCCTGCCGGTGTCTCGAGGCAATTGGGCTACACCCAAGTATTTGTACTCAGGGCAAAGTCGAATGCTGTCACCTTTGGAAACTTCCAAAAGGGCGTCACCGCTGAGCATGGCGCCTCGTGCAGCGCGTGCGCCGTCCCCCCTAATATCGACAAGGGCCTCAGTTTTGCCTGCCCCAAGGTTGACCCGGAACCGCAAGCACCGGAGGGTATCAAGAATGACACCGGTGAGTTGGGGGAGCTGTGTTTGGAGCTCGGCAGGACTATCAAAGTCCGCAAGGACGGCAAGGTCGTCAGCCCATCCAATCGGCTTGACGCCTGGCTCGAGGCCGATCTCGACCCCTGCACTGGTGTGCGAGATGCCCATGGAACAAGCAGTGCGCTGGATGTGTTGCAGCCCGATGGCAAATAGGGCGCCGAACAGAACGTCAGCTAGGCCGTCCCCGGGACGGGAGCCTCGGGAGGCCAAGAAAATGTTGTCCGACCCGGAGAGCGACCAGTGGGATAGAGCAACACAATCCCGAAGGAGCGCGCTGACATCCTCAGCAACGCCAAGAGCGGAGAGAGCCCCCTGGCCGTGAAGCTGGAGGACAAGTCCAGCAAGGTGATGGTGCTCCGGGACATCAACCTCGTCAGGGAAGCCATCGAAAAGAAGATCTGGGCTAGCCTCGTAGTAAGCGGCTTGGATGTCGACAAAGACAACAGCAACGCACCGCCCCGCAGCAACGGAAAGGTCCCAGGCGCATCGGAAAGCCGCCAGTGCAAACCCGGTGTGGACACCTCGGCGCCCTCCTAGCTGCATGGGCTCATAACGAGACAGCACATGTCCGCCGACCGTGGTGCGGAGGTGTGAATGCCACAGCTTAGCGATGCCGTTAAGGAGGGCGATGGAACGGTAGTTGGCAGGTACTGATGCCGGGCCCTTTTTGTAGAGGGCGCAGACGATGGCTTTCTTGAAATCGAAGGGTTCGCGGCCTTGAAGCGCAATGCGGGTGCAGAGTGGCCAAAGCCATTGACCGGCAAGAGCTCCATGTTCCCGCCAGAGCTCATTCCGCAGGCCGTCAGGACCTGGAGCCTTAGCTGGTGCCTGTCGGATGCACATTTGCTCCATTTGGAGCAGTGAAGGAACTGCCTCGAGGCACGGGGAGCGAGTGGCATCGACAGAGAGCCACTGCTCGGCTGTTTCTGAGAGCTGTGCAGGAGAGACGAGGCGGGCGCCTTCCTGGTCACGAAATTGTGCTTCAAGCTCACGGTCAATGTCGAAACCGCCGGCGGCGTGCACAGCCCGACGGTCATGGGCCTTGCGAGAGGCCCATCGAAGATGCCGGATAGATTCCAAAGGAATACCTGTGGATTCCCAGTGCTGGGTGGCAGCAAGGGTAAGAGTGCGGAAATGGGCGAGCTTGTCAGAACGGGCTAGATAGTGTGCCTTCTGCTGCAGACCCCGGATGTGCAGATTACAGGCCTGTAACAACAACCTGGCATGTTGAAGCCCGGTGGGGTCTGGGTGGGGGACAACAGTGTCGGATCGACCCCTGGCGCAACTCCATCGCCACACGAGTAGAAGAAAGCGTCGTTTCTGCCATTCGACATTACTGCGGAGGCGCGGGAGTTGCTCGCGAGCCTGCCGCACAACATCCAGGGCGGCAACAGACTCAGCAGTGATGTAGGGCTGGCGGGCAGGCCGCCGAGGAGCTCTCGGAAGGGCCTTCAAGAGGCGGAGGTGCCTAGCTTTGAGATCCCTGATCTCCTGTCCAACCTCAGCGATGCTGCGCACGGGAGACGGGAGCTCGCACCAAAGGCTAGCAGCAATAAGCTGTGCTTGCTTAGCGGTAGCTCGGTTGGATGCCCCGGGGGGTCGTGCCAGTGTCGCCTGTCGTTTAAGACAGCATTCAACAAGGAGAGGCATATGATCTCTGCGGCCGTTGAGAATGTCCAACTCGGGAAGTTGCCGGGCGCGGGTGCACTGCCATGGACCCGCCTGAAGCAGGAGATGGTCGAGCCGCTTCCGGGTACCGCCCGTATGCTCCCAGGACCAGCCTGGGCCCTGTTGGATGGCGGAGAAGGAAGCTGGTGCAAGGAGGCCGAAACGCTGAATAGTGTCAAAAAGACCTTGCTCGCCAGCACCTTCCTCACTGTTGCCCAGACAGTCGCCGATATAGGCGTGGTCTTCGTCCGCCCAAAGGAGGTCAGCGTTAGCATCCAGGCCGAGAACAAGAGACAGAGCCCGAGGCAGCTGGCACAGGGACGAGTGCAGCGAAGACCAAAAGTGGTGAATCTCAGAAGCAGGCCGCTCAGCGTGGGGGGCATGGGCGGCGATGACAGCAATGGGTAAGTCCGCACGCTTGCTGACAATAACGAGAAGACGAGGGTCGGCACTAGCGATGCGCCAGTCATCGAGCCGCAAGGGCGGATTGGTAATGCCAGGCCTTATCCAGATTTCACAACCATAGCTCCCTTTCTGCGCGCCGGAGCGCCAGGTGAGGAGGCCGGCTGTGTCCCAACGGCCACCCTTGCTACGGGCTTCTTGCAGGCAGACAACGTCGAGGCCTAAGGTAGCAACCTGAGAGTAAAGGTACTGGCGCCTCTGACCGTGCCCTGAGGGATTGAAGAATGAAGCATTGGAGTCACGCATCGTTTGAACATTGGCTGTGACCAAGCGCAAAGGGATGGGAGAATCGGCAAGTGGACGACCCGGTGGAGCAGCGGCCTCAGTGGATGTCAAGGTATCCTCGACAGGAGGGAGCACTTCACTAGCCTCAGTAGCAGGGGCACATGAAATGGTCTGCGAGACCAAACAAATGCACGGCCGACCCTTTACGACGCGAGCATGTGGGATGACCCAGAGCCACGGGGCCGCGTTTTGCATGAGGGTGGGTAGTAAGGGGTCAAGCTGTTTCCACGGTTGCCAGGAGACTCGACCTGACCAGCCGGCAAGGAAGTCCGCGAAGGTATTTGGGAGCACTCCGACGTGGCTATGGACATGCTGGAACCGTGTGGAGAGCCGTGCTTGAACAGCTTGCCAAACATACCGAGTGGTGGTGGTGGCAGGTGCTGCGGCTTGGGCCTGCCCTGCTGCGATTTGAAGTGCCGCAGCGTTATCGACCGCAACAGTAACCTTGGCAGGGGCAGAGGCGGTGAGAAGGGACAGGCGGTCAACCCAGGCAATAAGCCAGAGTCCGGCAGCCTGTAAGGCCGAGAGTTCAGTGTGGAAGGAGAGGCCGCCTGCCGAGGGCGGCAGGTCAGGGGTCCAGAAAAGCTGATAGCCAGAGGCCCCAAACCAACCGACGCGGTACCATCGATGGCGCCACCAAGCCCACACACAAAAGGCCCATGCCCCTCCATGCTCGCCGCTGCCGTCAGTGGCAATGAAGACCTGGTCAGGCACTCCCCCGTGCCAGAGCGGGAAGTTGCAGAAAGCCTGACGGTATGGTGGAGGGGCGGATGCGGGAAGAAACGGGTAAAGCTCATGAGACCACCAGAGTTGGTGTATGGACGCCTGGGCGACGCATTCCTCATGAACATCGGCCGACCACGAAATTCCATCAGTGCTGCTCCAAACAGGCGCGCCCCGAGCGCGGAGATAGCAGCTGGTACGGAACAGGAGGCCAAAGTCAAACGCGAGAGCATGGCAGTCTCCTGAGAGGGCCCCTGCACGGGGAAAGAGCGGGTGAGCTGGGACGGCTGGTGGGCCGTAGCTAGCCAGGAGCCCGAGACCAAGGGCCGCAAGCCAAAGCCGGGAGATATCTCGGGAGCAGACCCCCAACTAAAAGGTGGGGAAGGAGAAGGGACGGGGTTGGTCGACAGCCAGAGAGGCTATCTCCGTCACGCAGCAGGCCACTTGCCCCTTGTCGCGGAACGACCTGGACGCGCAGGGGAGGCTGTGCGCACGGTGCAGGTTCGGGCTCTCCGGGACAAGGTGAAGACCGAGGTCGTCAAGCCGCTGAGCAGGAATCCATCGAGTGACACTGAAGCGGGCAAGGGAGGGCCGAAATGTGCAGTGCATGGGGTCCCATTGTTCTTCACGAACCGTGGGCACAGTGAGGGGGACTGGGTCACCAGGTGACCAGGCAAACAGGAGCCCAGGTTGGCGTATGCTGAAAGGGCTTCCCCAGAAGGCGAAGTGACGCGCCTGGAGCAGCGTGTCCCAGTAACGCCCGGCCGGCGAGCGAAGGCGAGGAGCCCAGGTCTCTCCAGCGAGAGTGAGAACGTCGCCGGACCGGAGAAAAAGAGTTGGGTTCGGTGAGGTAGCCGTCCCACACCAAGTTTCGGGGGGTGCCAAGATGAGAGACAGGTCCCGGACCATTCGATTGCATGCTCGGAGCAAATCGGCAGCGGCGCACGTAGCTGGAAGGAAAGCAGCCCGGGTGGCAGGTGGGCACTGAAGAAGGACGGTGGCGAACATCGGGTCAGAGGGCACCGGAACCCAGTCAACAAGGCGAGGGTCCTGTGGAGGGTGAACCCGGGTAAAGGATGACCATGCGGGAGCAGCATCTCGAAGAGAGACGGGAGGCTCCAAAGAAGTTCCACGGAAGGGTCCAAGGACCCCACAAGCAGGATCCCACAGCCGATGGTAAGTAGGGTAACAGTCTGGCAAAAGAGAGCCCTCTGCGTGCAGGTCCAGAGAGGAGCGCGAGGCAGCGCCAGTGTAGCGAGTAGCCCAGACAGGATGTCCCCAAGCGAATCCAATTGCGAGGAGAACAACGCTAGGCCCGGCAGTACGCCACCCAGACACCCCAAGCAAACTGAAAACGACCCAAGGTAAAAAGCGTCCGGAGGCCTCGGACACCACATCGCCACTGCGTAGGGTAGTTCCCTGCCTAAGCTCGTGATGAGAAACACCGAGGACCCGAGGTTGACCGGAAACAGTCGGCAGTTCAGTCCACAGTTGCCACGCATCTGTGACAGCAGTGATGGAGGCGCACCAGCATTGACCATCCGCTTCCACCACCACATTGGCACGGGATGGGTCCTCAGGGAGCAGGACGAGATGCGTGTGGTCCTGGGCAATCCAGGGGACGGGCACCCAGCGACCGGGGTAATGTTGGCAGAATTCCCCTTCGAAGGTGAAGTCGAGTGCCTGCCAGCGAGCTCCTGCGGGGGCATGTCCCCTAACGGCCCTGACGCCCGGTTGCCACAGAACGAAGTTCGCTCGAAAGGAAACTGAAAAATCAACCGACCATATGGCGCAATGCCGAACTTGAGTGTCAGAGTGAAAGCAGGGCGGTTGGTACTCAGGCACAAAGGCAGCGGGCGGAAGAGCGACAACGAGGTCCCCTGAGCGCCATCTAACATTTTGATCCGTGGTGGCCTCAGCAGTTAGAGGGCTGGGAGCTCGCACAGACAGGGTCTGCATAGGCTGCAGAAAACGAAGAGCAAAACTGAGCCATGACACTGAAGTGACACACGGAGTCAGGATGGAAAAGTGTTGATCCAAGGACGATATGGCCAGACACACCATATCGAGAGAGAGGGGCCGGGGCACAACAAGCAGGGCAGGGATGGCCGCTGTGGGCCACACCGGCGCAACATCAGCAGCCCATTCAGGATCGCACGCCCGCGCAAGCGAGCTCAGATCCTCAAGTGTGGACACAGTGGGGAGACGTCCAGCTTCCCGCGGACCAGTGAAAGGGCTGAGATAGACAACGTCAATCTCAGTGCCAGGAGAGAGGTCGACAAGGTCCTCCTCACCGGGCTTGGCTCGCCATGGGTACAGGCCTGTGCGAATGGGCCTATCCGGCACCTCCAGGACCGGGACCATGCCGCACACGTAATGAGAAAGGAGAGCGAGAGTAAGCCAACGGGGCCATCGCGCAGCGACCGCAAGAAAGGCAAGCCAACCGGCCCCTCGTATCCCAGAAGGCGACGAGCAGGAGGGCCAATCAGAATGAGACTCCTCCACGGCCGCAGAGGGAAGTGGCCCGAAGGGGTCCCAGACCACGCTGGCGTCTGGGTCGATGACTAGCACATCGCCGTCTCGAAGAGGGCTGTCCGCGCGAACATATTGCAGAGCGGGCAGAAGTCGCCACCCAGGAGGGGCACGATAAGCATTGCAGCCCGCGAGCCGCCGGCCCTGTGGCATGAGGTCCGGCGGCAGAAGGAAGAGAACGTGCGCCTCACCAACGGAAGCTTGGTGCACCAAGTGAAGACTCGACAGGTCACCCGTAAGAACCGGGACCCATGAACCTGACAAAGCCTCCCCGTTAAGGCTCCAAAAGGTGGGACCTTCAGGGTCCCAGTAGCCCGTATCCCTACCCAATAGACCCGGTTAGACAAAAAATTGCCGTCTCTTCGATCCTTGTAAATCTATATATTTCTACGATTTCGTCAAAGTGTTTCGGCAACTTGTTTTGCCGAAAATAGTTTAATCGTGAAACGCCAATTAGGAGAATCGGTGGCACGAATTAGATTAAAATCGTTTTGACGATTTCGTCAAGATTTGCCGATTTCGACAAAGCTCGTTTTGACTATTTCGGGAAGATTTGCCGAAATAGTTAAGTCGGCGGCGGCCCAAACTGCTATCAAACTGCTTCACTCAACGGCTGAAACTGCTACACCTGTTTTGTGTGGTTTTGATGGCACATTTTTCAGTATATACGGAGAAGAACATTTCGAACTGTTCGCATGCATGTGAGTTTTGTAAAAGAAAGAGACATACATCAGAGGATAAGCAAGAAAGAACGACACGGAGAGAGAGAGAGAGAGAGAGAGAGAGAGAGAGAGAGACGTGCAGAGACAGAAAGAGCAGGGAGAAAGTGCGAGGACCTTGACTGACCGACCTCTGAGTGACCGACCTTGAGTGACCGACCTTGAGTGACCTTGAGTGCCCGACCTTGAGGGGAGTGTGTCGCCGCAGGTGCTTATATGGTTCCTGCGACACCCTGGAGATTCATCTTGCTGTGTGCCAGGGCCCCGATTCCAGAAGTTTTCGCTTCTCAGTCGGATGCTGCGGGTCTCTTTCATGTCGGAGTGAGGGTTCTCCTGTATGTGCACACAACTTTTCTATGTATCTATCTATATCAATACCCTCGTCTATAGGTCCCTATATCTATCCATATATCTATCTCAACCTATCTTTCTACATCTATCTATCTATCTATCCTATATGTCGCATGCAAGAACCCAACAGACACAGACACACACAACCGTGGCTGTGCTGTTGCCACCTTGAGGGATCAGGCTTTGTTGCTCACCTGGAGCGAGAAAGAAGCACTCCGAGGGGGGTTTAGGCCTGTGTGTGTGTGTGTGTGTGTGTCACACATGGCTGCTTCGAAACCTCCCCGCTTGGTCGCAGACCCGAGCTTGGGAGTGGCCGACATGCAGATGGCAGTCGAATCCTATTTGGACAGCGATGATTGCAAGGTCAAGCCGAACTTGATGGAGCTGCTCAAGCCCCCTGTTGGTGTCACCTGGAAATCTGGAGTGTCGGCCAGCTACCTGCACAGGGTCAGCCCGCTTTTGAGCTGCTACCTGAGGAAGGTAAGGAACGGAGTTTTGCCATCAAAGAAGAACAAGCTTGCTTTAGCACGTTTGGATGAGTCTCGCTCTTTGAACGTTTCCAAGAACAAGACCAGGGCGGATTGGACGGACTACATCGATGAGATGACACGGATGGCACTCTCTCACGTGAGAGGTCTCAAGATCAGCCCTGTGAGCAAAGAGCGTCTGTGGAGGAAGTCTGACACTGTGCAGCAGCAGGCCATCCAAGATTTGCTTGATCTCCTGGTGTTGCCGAAGCACTGCCCAACAGACGTGGAAGGCGAGCCTTCCACGAACATTGAGGCGGCTGAGCCCGCTTCTGCCTTGGTGCCTGTGGCGAAGGAGGCGGATGACGAGATCGAGGAGATCAAGACCCCAGCAGTCTTGGCAGCTGAGGCTGGGAAGGCTGCACCGAGCGATGGGCTCCAGTCCCCATGCCTGAATCCCGAGGATATCTTCTCTGCGATCTTGGCGAAGCAGGATGATGATTTCTGTGTTGGTGATGGTGTGGTCGCGAGATCGCCTCCGAAGCAGCTCTCAAAGAGCCAGGCGATGATTGTGGACAAGTCTCCTGAGAAGACTTTGGTTTCTCAGGTGGATGGAGGAGGAAAGCCGTTCATGCAAGGCTTGCTGAAGTCCGGCCTGCTCTCGGCCTCCGAGGTCCAGATGGTGCAATCGACGGCCTTGCAAGAGGCACCGGTGAAGCCGAAGCCGAAGGCGAAAGCTAAGGCGAAGACAAAAAAATCTTCGACGAAGAAGCCCAGCAAGAAGGAGAAGACTCCTCAGAGGGCGGCATCCTCGGCTGACTTGGAGCCCGCCAGTCCGGCCAAGCCGAGTGCGAGCCTTCCGCCTGCCGAGATTGCCACCCCGCCGCTCAATCGCTTGAAGTCCAAGCAGTGTTTGGAGCCAGGTTCCAGTGAGAAGACGACAGATCAGAAGAAGGTGCTCAAGCTTGTTTCCGGTGAGAAGCAGTCTAAGACCAGGAGGAAAACCGATGATGAGATCGCGAAGTTGCCCCCTGGCAAGAGGCGAAAGTTGCTGACGAGCAGGGCTTATCATATCACGTATGACCAGGCTGTTCGCGATGGCAAATCGCCGGAGGAGGCTGGCAAGCTGGCCCGTGATGCATCGCAAAAGGTGAGGGATGAACTTGATGATGAGAAGGAGCAGGCAGCCAAGGAAGGCTGAGCACATGCCGGTTTGGGCTGTGTCATCGCTGTGGCGAGACTAAGTCTCCTTGTGCAGTTCTCCTGGTGGCAGGGCTTCTTTAAGCATGGATACTTGCCATATAGGAACCCAATACCGATTGCATATAGCTGGGTGCTCAAACATGTTGGAACCAGAAGTCCGTTTTGAGCCACCGAACAACAAACTTTCGATAGCCGAAGTGCTGGGAGCGGAGCAAAGAGAGTGTGTGCAGAGTGAAGTTCTCCTTGCTAGTCGTCGTGTGCTCATTAAACCCCCAAACCCACCCAGCTGTGAGTGACAAGAGCTTGCGATGTGTGTTCATATAGATAGTGCCTGTGTGCTCTTTTTGTGCTCTTGCCGAGGTTGGGCCTTCCACGGTGTGTGCGGCGACGAATCGCGAAGTTCTCAGAGTGCAGCCCTATATATTATACTATCTATTATAATACTACTACTACTACTACTACTACGACTACTACGACTACTATACTACTACTACTACTACTACTACTACTACTACTACTACTACTACTACTACTACTACTACTACTATACTCCTACCTCTACTGTACCACCGCCAGTGATTGCATGCATTAGGGAAGTGATTGAGCCAGTGATTGCAGTGTTGAGCCAGTGATTTTGCATGCATTAGGGCAGTGCTTGTGTGACTCACTTGATTTGCCCAGGTTTTGTGAGTTCCACGGTGTGCGGGGAGGAATCGCGATTTTCTCGGAGTGCAGCCTCACGTGTGCTCTAGGAGTAGCGGCGGCAGTGAGTGTGATTGTGCATGCATTGCAGGAGTGCTTGAGCCAGTGATTGCAGTCTTTCAGAGCCAGTGACCGCACACATGCATGAGGGATTGAGCCTGATTGAGGTTGTGTGGCCCCGGTGCGAACGAATCGCGATTTCTGCTCACCTCTCAGAGTGCAGCCCTACACGATTGCAGTCTGTTGTGCACTGAGCAGCTGCATGAGCGAGTGATGCAGTGATTGAGGGCAGCTGCATGAGTCAGTGATTCAAGCGACACATGCCGGTTCAGTGTTCGGGTTCTCAGCTGCAGAGCAGGATCTATGTGTAAGCATACACGTACACTAGATTGTAGATCCTGAACATACCTCTTTCACACCTCTCAAACTGAAACACCCTACATAATCCGGTTCCTCCCAAACCAAACACTGAATGTCTGTATAATGGTGCCTCAGCCCACAAAAAGCCCCTTCCGTGATACAGCCACAAACATGGACCGTGTGTTTGTTCGCCACCTCAGCTTCGCCGTGAGCCAAAAGCAGATCCTTGATTGGGTAGGGCAGGAAGCTCCTTCTGCAACGGTGACCGCTGTGAACGTTTTGAGGGCCGGCCGGTCTTATTGTGACAATAGCTACTGCTCGGCATTTCTCACGGTTGGTTCGAGGGAAGAGGTGGATATCCTGGTGTCGAGGATGCACAATAGCCTCACGTCGTTGAGCGATCGTTGCTTACATGCTGAGAGAGCAGTGCCTCGCATGAAGCATCTGCCGGCCACCTGGCCACACATGTGTATTCATTTTTGGCTTTGTGGGATTCAAAATCTGGGGTTTATGGGTTTGGGACTGGGCTTCGTGTACTTCGGATTTTTGGCGCTTTTTGTTTGGGGAGCCACATTCTTTTGAGCCCACATCCTGGCCCTCTCAGGTTTCAGCAATGCCGACCGAGCCCGAGCTGGCGAGCGACGAGACGATGAACCACGAGGCGACAAGTCGTCGATCTATCTACCTATCTATCTATATCACATTCTTTCTATGTATATGTATATACATATTTCTAAAGCCTGAGCCCTAGACCCCTAAACCCTATAAAGCCTTGTTGCTTCTAGCATGTGGGCTGATTGGACCAACCCAAACTTCGACTTTTGCAGGCTCGATAGGTGGAAGTTGTGGTGTGTTCCAGTGCGGCATCGAATAGCTTGAAACAGTTGCTGTGTGGCACGTCCATCTATCTATCTATCTCTATATATATATACATATTAATATATATTAATATATACATATATATATATATATTCATATATATTCATAGATATTCATATATATTCATATACATATATATATATATATATATATATGTATTGATATATATTCATATATATATATATATTAGTATATATATATATATATATATTAATACATATTAATATATGATCAATGTATAATTGCACCTAAACCCAACACCCTTGCTGTTACTTGAACTGGGATAAAATCCCTAAACCCAAACTCCAAATACCTTATACTTAACCCCAAACCAAAACCCTGAACCCTGAACCTAAACCTAAACTTTGAACCCCCAAAGCCCTGCCCTAAACCTTAAGCTCTCTCGGACACTACATAAAGGGCCCTAACTTGGAGCACTACCCAACTTACATGACCCCGGCAACCCTTCAAA